TTTTATCTTATCAAGAGAAGAAATGTTCTTATTTCACATGTGGTTTATTGCTTCATTTATATATATGTATTACATGTGAAATGTCCGGATGATGCAAATCTTTAGAAGATCAAAATCATCAAAGTATTCCCTACATAGGTAATATTAATTGGGCAATAATATCATAGTAGCATGCTGAATGCCTCCGTAGAATATCATGTGATGGTATTGGTGTGGTGATTATAAAAGTTATCACCTAGGGCATTAAATGGATACGCAGTTAGTGAACTGTTTATCAAATATGGCCATTTATGATGAATCACATGGACTTAAAATGTAGTCAATGATTTATCATAAGATCGTACTGGTTATTATTAATCCTTAGACCTGAGATATCACGGGTGATTATGCATACCGCATATGGTTCAATGGTGTATAAACATGAGGCTAATCATCCATGTGTTAATAAGCCGATTTGGCCATGTGTTGTTTATGTGTGAGGACAGTGATAGCAAGATGATGTCGTTACTTGGTTGGATTGATCTCAAGTTCCTAGATAAATGTCAAGATACATTGGAAAAGGGAAATCTCCGGCCGGGTACATAAAATGTTACATGAAGGTTGTTTCATGGTGACACTTCCATATGTATTGAATTAAATTAAGATAAGGATTTTGACATCAATGAATCCATTCTTAATTGGGTTAGACAACGAAGGATTTGATTATACAACGTGTATGATTGTAAAAGGTTCGTTGGAGTATACCTTCATTGTGACTTAGGGGTTATGGCATTGCTAGATGCTTACCATAATCAGTGGAGTTTTGTTCATAAAGAGTTATGACAAACATATCGGAATAGATTGTGATATTGGGCCCACGGCTAGGCCACAGGAACCTAAGAGGTCACACATAAAAACTAAGGAGAATGAAGAATAGCCAAAGAGGGTTGATTATCCAAGGTTGGCTAGCACCTACCAAAGGTAATAAAGTTATTTATATAATCATTTTCTTTATATTATATTGGATTTTACAAGGGGTTGTAATTGTAAACAATTTAAGGGTTAATTGTTATGTAAACAATTTAAGAGTGATTAAAGGTTAATCTAATGTTATAATTAAAGAAGTTTAACAACTTCATAACAATTATGGAATTGTTTAAGGAAGTCCAAAACAATTATTGAATTGTTTACAAGGATCCTATATAAGAAAATGATATATCAATTTTATGTAGAGATCAAAATCTCTAAGAACCCTAACTTTTCTCTTGGTCAAATTTCTTCTTCCCTTGGTGTGGATACTCTTTTGCTTAATTTCTCTTAAAATTAAAGGCTCCAAGGTTGCTAAGGGCTTAAGGTAACATGTTCTACCTTACTTATTTCAATTTGATTGAAATTTATTTTTTAAACATGACATACTGTTTATAGTATGATATGCTTGATTCTCCATGCATCATCTTTCACCTCAGCCTGTACTCTTTCCACGTCAGTCTATGGGCGAACTCCCGCTATGATGAGAGTCCGAACAGACTCTTTGGGAGTGTGGCTACCTTATTAAGCTCTTGTGGAATTAATCGATGTAAGACTGAAGGGATTCATCCCTCTCTGCCTTATGTTGCTGAGGTAGCTTAAAGGCATTGAGAACTTCGATTTGCTTGGAAGTGTCTTAGGAATGTCGTGCTCATCTGAGCCACGAGCTGATCGACCCCGCTGGGAGTGACCGAACCACCATTGGCATGAGAGGTTAGGGTTACTGCCAAACAACGACATTTCTCCAAGTCTGAAACTTGGTGAAGCTCCATTAGGTCGTTGAATTCATATATGTCCTGTGGATCATAATTTTCACGAACGCCCGCATATCGGGCATTCTAATCTTGATGGGAGAGGGGCGCTAATCTGCCAAGAAAAAAGAGATGCTGCTGCGACCTGCCTTTGCTCATTTTGCTGAGCTTTTAGCTGATTTAGAGCTCGCTGTAGCTCCTCAATCTAAGCGCGCGAGCTATATAGGGATTGCTTTCCCCCATGGGAGTTCGACCCTCGCGATTGCGGTTGAGGAAAGTCCAGAGGTCACCCTCTTCGCCTCGGCATGCAGTTCCGACAGCTCTTGACACACGCTGTCTAGACCGTTGATGGCGATGAATGGTGCAGGGGATTTTCACGACCTCCACATGGTAGAACCACCCCCGAGGTGTGGGAACCTCCCGCATGATATGATCGGGTGTGTTATTCTGGCATTGATGAGAATTGCCCCGCCTAGCACTTTTATGGGAGTGCTCATGCAACGTGGCATGGGACGGCTCGGATGTAACCTTTCACCGACCTCACCCCACGGGTATTCTAATCGGGACGTGGTTGGTGTTTGCCAGTCCTTGGGAGCCCTTAGGACCGCTGTTCGCCACTTGCTTACCCTTCCTTCGACACGCTGCAGTGCGGTGGCATGGGCTATCGCCCTTTTTCGTGCTTTCGCGCAACCTACAAGGGTTTTTTGTGGTTGCATCGCCCCATTTGATTCGGTGCACTGGCCCAACACGGTAAACCTTTGGTTGACCATTTAGAGAGTATTGTTGAACCTCTCCAGGTAGCTCATGATGCGGATCAAGTTTGTGAGCTTGAGGGATATCCCCCGCAGCATTTTGTGGAACTGAGGGCACCTCGTGAGAAGTGTCCTCCTGTACCGGGGATCTCCTCAACACCTGATTGGTTCGCTCAGGTTCGAATCGGCAAGCCATTTACTGTGTAGACCGTTAATTCAAGAGATTCTCCTGATGAAGGACGAATACTAAATCACCCTCCTTCTAGCGCCAAACTGTTGATGCTTATTTTGACACCAACTAAACGCACTTGTGAAATGCTGAGCTGGCCTAGAACACATGTGAATGAGGTTGAGAATGTAAATGGTAGAAATACAATGTTTAAAGTGGTTCGGATGCTTAAACAGCGAATCCTACATCTACTGATATTGTATTTATATTTGAAGGATCAGTCGCAAGCGAGCTGACTTTAGAGTGTTGAGAAAACAGATGAAGAGAGAGAGAAGAGAATACTATTCAGAGAAGATAGCTAATCAAGAGTAAAAATCGCGAATCCCTTAAACGAGAGAACCTTCTATTTATAGTGGGATACATTGAGGTAATATTACTGATCTGTATAAAGGGGTCCGTTACCATGCAAATCCTTCTTTGTGTCCCGTTGTTCACCTACTTGATGATTTCCTCAGTTCAGGCAGCGATTGGACACGTGGACGGCTTTCAGCCTCTCGTCATTCTGGCGGCACCCACTGCACTGGTAGGAACATGCTGCTCACACCAGCATGCATGTGGCCGCGCCTGAATGGCTGTAGGATCTGCATAGACTCTGACCATTGTGCTGACTGTGGGTTCTGCATCAGCCTTACTTTTCCAGGCATAACAAATTGTAATAAAAAATTTTGAAAAATAATTTGAATAATTTGGGCTCCAACAAAATAGACCAGTTTATTTATTTATTAATCGCCGAACGCATGCACCTACCCATAGTTGATACCCAAAAGGTTTGAAAATGACAATTACCCACTTTCTGTCCAACTCTGCTAATAAAATCTGTTTAAGGAAGGGCAATATAGTAATTTTATCCATTAATTTTAAATTAATCATTAAATCCCTAAATTCTTTTATCATATTTTATTTATTTTTCTCTTCTCTCTCTTTTCTCTCTTCTTCATCTCTCCCTTCTCTTTCTTTTCTTTTCTCCGTCTTTTCCTCCCTCCCTTCTCTTTTTTTACTTTCTTCTCCTCTTTTCCCTTCTCTTTCTTCCCTTTCTTCTCCATTCCCTCCTCCCCTTCTCTTTTTTCCTTTTCTTCTCCCTCTTTCCCTTCCTTTCTTTCCTTTCTTATCCGTCTTTTCCCTCCTCCCCTTCTTTTTTTCCCTTGTCTCTCTTTCTTTTCCCTCCTCCCCTCTCTTTTTCCTTTTCTTCTCCCTCTTTTCCCTTTGGTCGCTAGGCAAGAACCAGTCTTTTCCTCCAGTTTTTTAATTTTTAATTTTTTCAAATTTTATAATTTTTTACAGTTTGGGTTGGAAGTGTTTGAAATTTATGTGATTTGTGGCGGTGGTGATGTTTGTATTTGGTGGTTTTGGTGGCGAGTTTGGAGCTGGTGAGGTCCTGATCGAGAAAGAAGGAAGAAAAGAGAAGTGAGGAGGGAAAAGACGGAGAGAAAGAAAAGAAAAGAGAGAAAAGACGGAGAAAAGAAGAAAAGAGAAGGGAGAGATGAGAGAAATAGAAGAGAGAAAGAAATATGATAAAAAATTTAGGGATTTATTGATTAATTTAAAATTAATAGATATAAAATTACTAATTGCCCTTACTTAAACAGATTTTATTAACAGAGTTGGACAAGAGTGGGTAATTGTCATTTTCAAACCTTTTGGGTACAAATATCGTTATGGCAAACTTGGGTGGGTGCATGTCGTTCGGCCTTTATTAATCCAAGCAACTTAGTCCTTCGTTTTTAGTGTCCATGAAAAAAAATATTTATTTCCCGGTATAATTTTGGGGTTTATTAAGATTTGACACAAAATATTTTCTCCCCCAATCTTAGAAACTAACATTACAACCCACTTAATTGTAATGGTTTAAGGTTTAGAATAGAGGAAACCATCACTGGGTGTGATTTAATGATAAAAAAACAAAAAGAAGGTCTAATATGGTCTCTCGAGTTCAAGTATCTCTGATAGTAAAAGAGTAAGATTATGATTTAACATCAAATTCGAGGAGGATCTAACTTGGTCTCTTAAGTTTGAGTACTCATGATGGTGAAAGAGTAAGAGAATAATCTAATATAATTTCTTGAGTTTGAGTCTCCATGATCCCTAGTAGAGGTAATCATATTAGATTGATAGTTCTAATTTTTTAGGATCCTAAGAAAATAGTTTAAGTACGTGTAAACGGAACCGAACACTCTAATCATTATAAATAAATAAAAGTTTAGAATAGAGGGGAAGCACCGAACCTCATGTAACTCTTTAATTTTCATTAGACTTGAGAACGAAGGCAAGTGACCTGATATCTCCAATGAACCTCCTCTTTGTTTGACCGTAACAAGTACAAACAAAACAAATAAATATATTAAGATTAACCTTACAGAACATAAATTCTTCCTCAATTCATCCATTTGATATCACATTAATCATATGGTCTAATTCCTGAACAAACACATGGAGTCTCCGTCACCGGAGTCCTCTACAATATTTCTAGAAGACTTCGGTCAAAAGGTAGACCTTACCCGGAGGATCCGGGAGGTCTTGTTGAACTATCCCGAAGGCACCACCGTCCTCAAGGAACTCATTCAGAACGCTGATGATGCCGGCGCTACCAAAGTCCGCTTTTGCCTAGACCGTAGGCACCACTCCTCTCACTCTCTCTTGTCCCATTCCCTCGCTCAGTGGCAGGGCCCCGCTCTTTTGGCCTATAACGATGCTGTTTTCTCTGAAGATGATTTTTTTAGTATTTCCAGGATCGGTGGAAGTACTAAACACGGCCAGGCTTGGAAGACCGGCCGATTCGGGTAATTTTATTTTATTTTACTATTTTTTTTTTAAAATCATAATTGTTGTTATTATTGATTTTTATTTTCTGCTTGACTGTGTTAATGGATTAATTTTTATATTTTTACTTGACTCTGTTAATTGTTTACTTTTGTAGGGTGGGGTTCAATTCGGTGTATCATTTAACTGATTTGCCTTCATTTGTTAGTGGGAAATATGTAGTACTCTTTGATCCTCAAGGAGTTTACTTACCAAATGTTTCTTCAGCTAATCCTGGAAAGAGAATTGAGTATGTTAGTTCTTCAGCTATCTCACTCTATAAAGACCAATTCTTACCCTATTGTGCTTTTGGTTGCGACATGAAAAATCCTTTTGCTGGAACTTTATTCCGTTTCCCTTTGAGGAATGCAGATCAAGCAGCAAGTAGTAAGCTCTCAAGGCAAGCTTATTCGGAAGATTATGTTTCTTCCATGTTTACTCAGCTTTATGAGGAATGTGTTTTCACATTACTCTTCCTTAAGAGTGTTCTGTGTATTGAAATTTTTGTTTGGGATGTTGGAGAACCTGAGCCAAGGAAGCTTTACTCGTGGTCTGTTAACTCGGCAAATGATGAAACTGTTTGGCATCGACAGGCACTTCTGAGATTGTCCAATTTAGATATTTCCACTGAAAGAGAGACAGATGCTTATTTTGTGGACTTCTTGGTTGAGGAAACGACTGGGAGTGAAATTAAGAAGAGAATTGATACTTTTTATGTAGTGCAAACAATGGCATCGACATCTAGTAGGATTGGTTCTTTTGCTGCTACTGCATCCAAAGATTATGATATCCACCTTCTTCCATGGGCATCGGTTGCAGCGTGTGTATCAAATGTAAATCATTTTTCCTCATTTCCTTTATGATGCTTTTTGTCTATTCTTCAGTTTTATATCTTAGGATTGTACCATACGCATACATTGTCTGCTACTAAACTTGAACTTTAATAAAGTGGAGTCAATCATATTGCCACATTTGCTGATAACGCCATTTAACATCAGACTTAATGGAGAATATTGCTCTTAGAGTGGAATGCTCAATCTCATTTGGATTGATACAAACTACATTATAAATTTAGCAAATGTTTTATATCACTTACCACATCATCTCATCATCTATATAGTGGTTACAACTTAATTACTTTATTTTGGATAATAAATTGGGAAGAGTGGTATAGCTTATGTAACTACTTTTTCATTTTTAGTTATATGCATTCTTAATATCCTATCAGAAGAAAAAAAAAAAAAAAAAAAAAAAAAGAAAAGAACTAAGCAAATGTGCCATACATAATTTGAATGTTTATTGGTGCATTATTTCTATTTATTCCTTATTTGAACTGTCATCTTAGAATTTGCCATTTTCACTTTTGTAATATTCTTCCATAAACCAATCAAGAGTTGCTCTCCTTGCCAAAAAAATTAAAAAAAGAGTGCGACTTTTTAAGTAATTTTTTTCAGGAACAAAGTGGTTGTATCCTAAACAATACCACAAACATGGGCATGGTGCCCTACCTGAACTTCTTGGTGTTTGAGTGAGTGACCACTATAATAATAAAGTGAAAATTTTAATGATTTTGTACGATGCAGTTCTGTGGCTATTTGGCATTTGAGCATAAATAAGGATTTGAATTTTATAACATAACTATTTCAATTGTCTGGATACTTTAAACAACAGTAGGGTCATCACAGATTGATACTGGCAGTACAGTGAGGTATAGTTTTTTGTTTCTTTGATTAAAAATTTATTTTTCAAACACGTTGTCAGAAATGTGATTTAAAATGATAGTAAGTTAGAGGCATTTTCTCTTTTTTGCTGTATTTGAAAGTTCTGTTCACACACTGGTTGTCCTTTCCATTATCTAACCAGTCGATAGTCATCCAGAAGAAATACGAACTTTTCTCTGTTCATTCTTCCATAATTGTTTCCTTCTCTAACAATATTTTGATAGTTTTGTCCTATAAATCTTTGATGTTCTTTAATCAGAACATATTGTTTGAGTTACATGATTCATTGAGTTTAGTTATCACGGACATGCATATGTATACTAGGAACTTGTTTCATAGATTCTGCCAACAAGATTTCTTTACATGTTCCATATCAATGCTGATGTTGTTAACTGCATACATTTAGGTGCAGATGATTTTTAGGAAACCAACAGAATGCTTTTTTTTTTTTTTTTGGGTAAAATGGTCCAGTACATCTCTTTTCTTGCTTGTTTCCTCTTTATATAATAGAACTCTTGCCTTACTGCATTGCAATTTTTAACAGAATGATGTTCTGAAACTTGGTCGAGCATTCTGCTTTCTTCCACTGCCTGTCAGAACTGGATTGACTGTGCAAGTTAATGGATACTTTGAGGTTTCCTCAAATCGTCGTGGCATTTGGTATGGAGGTGACATGGACAGAAGTGGCAAAATTCGTTCTATCTGGAACAGGCTTCTCTTAGAGGATGTTGTGGCCCCTACTTTTGCACAATTGCTGGTTGGCGTGCAAGGGTTGCTAGGTCCATCAAATTCATACTATACTTTATGGCCCAGTGGTACTTTTGAAGAGCCATGGAACATCTTAGTAGAGCATGTCTACAGAAACATTGGCAATGCTTCTGTTTTGTATTCAGATCTTGGAGGAGGAAAATGGGTATCACCGGTTGAAGCCTTTCTTCACGACGAGGAGTTTCCTAAAACAAAGGAACTAGCTGAGGCCTTGCTACAGTTAGGAATGCCTGTTGTCCATTTACCCAGTCACTTGTTTAATATGTGTTTGAAATATGCTTTTGGTTTTCAGCAGAAAGTGGTCACTCCCGATTCAGTACGCATTTTTCTTCGGAAATGCAAGATCCTTACTACTCTGAACAGATCTTACAAGCATATACTGTTGGAATATTGTCTAGAAGACATGATCGATGATGATGTTGGTACATATTTAGAGGACCTGCCATTGCTTCCATTAGCCAATGGCAATTTTGGGTTATTTTATGAAACCTCCAAGGGGGTTGCATATTTTGTTTGCAATGAGTTGGAATACATGCTTCTTCAGAGAGTTTCTGACAGAATAATTGATAGGAATATCCCCCTAAATGTACTGAGGAGACTTTCTTCTATTGCAAAGTCTGCAAAAGCTAATCTTACTGTTTTCAATGTTCAATGTTTCCTGCAGTTGTTCCCTAGATTTGTACCTGCTGATTGGAAACTTAAAAGCAAGGTTGTATGGGATCCAGAATCTTGTCATGATCATCCAACTTCTGCGTGGTTTATGCTTCTTTGGCGGTATCTTCAAAACAACTGTGAAAAGTTATCATTATTTGGTGAATGGCCCATTTTGCCATCATTGTCTGGGCATTTGTACAGAGCTTCAAGACAGTCAAAATTGATTAATGCAGAGAAACTTTCTGATGCAGTACGAGAAATCCTTGTAAAGATTGGCTGCAAGATACTTGACACCAAGTTCGGAATTGAACATAAAGATTTGTCACAGTATGTCTCTGATGCTGATTATGCAGGTGTTCTGGAATCCATTTTTGATGCTGTCCCTTCAAATACTGGCACCAGGCAAGTACTTATAGATAATTTGAGAACTGAAGAAAGGGATGAGCTTCGTAATTTTTTCCTTGATTCAAAATGGTACATGGGAGCATCTATTAATGATTCTAACATAAGAAATTGCAAGAGGCTGCCCATTTATAAAGTTTACAGTGGAGGGTCTGCTCAAGATTTCCAATTTTCTGATCTGGAAAATCCTCGAAAGTATTTACCACCCTTAGAGGTCCCTGAGGGTCTTTTGGGAGGTGAATTTATCATCTGCTCCCTAAGTATTGAGGAAGATATTTTGTTAAGATATTATGGAATTCAGAGGATGGGGAAGGCTTGTTTCTATAGGCAGCAGGTGTTTAATAGAATCAAGGAGTTGCAACCTGAAGTTCGTGACCCAGTCATGCTTTCTATTTTGCAAACTCTGCCACAGTTGTGTGTTGAGGACGCATCTTTTAGGGAATGTTTGAGAAATTTGGAATTTGTTCCAACCATTAGTGGTGCTGTTAAGTGTCCTGTGTCGCTATATGACCCTCGTAATGAAGAGTTATATGCTCTACTGGAAGAGTCTGATAGTTTTCCTTGTGGTGCTTTCCAAGAGTCTGGAATTTTGGACATGCTACAGGGTTTGGGACTCAAAACAACTGTATCTCCTGAGACAATCATAGAAAGTGCTCGAAAGGTAGAACGACAAATGCATGAGAATCCAGAAAAGGCAAATTCAAGGGGTAAAGTTCTGCTCTCCTACTTAGAAGTAAATGCTATGAAATGGCTTCCCAATCAACTGCCTGATGATCAAGGAACAATGAACAGAATGTTTACACGAGCTGCAACTGCATTCAGGCCTCGTAACTTGAAATCTGACCTTGAAAAAATTTGGAATGATCTACGGATGATTTGCTGGTGTCCAGTGTTAGTTTCTGCTCCATTTAAACATTTACCATGGCCTGTGGTGTCATCCACAGTTGCTCCTCCAAAACTTGTAAGACTGCAAGCAGACATGTGGCTTGTTTCAGCAAGCATGCGAATACTGGATGGTGAATGCTCGTCCACTGCATTATCATATAATCTAGGATGGTTATCCCCGCCAGGAGGAAGTGTTATTGCTGCACAATTACTTGAGCTTGGGAAGAACAATGAGTTTGTGAATGATCAGGTGCTTCGGCAGGAATTAGCCTTAGCAATGCCAAAGATATACTCAATCCTGGCGAGCTTGATTGTTTCAGAGGAGATGGACATTGTAAAAGCTGTTCTTGAAGGGTGTCGTTGGATTTGGGTGGGAGATGGATTTGCGACCTCAGACGAAGTGGTTCTTGATGGTCCTTTTCATTTGGCTCCTTACATACGTGTTATACCTATCGATTTAGCAGTTTTTAAGGATTTATTTCTGGAGCTTGGCATCCGAGAATTTTTGAAGCCCACTGATTATGCTAATATATTATGTAGAATGGCCACAAGGAAAGGTTCCTCTCCTCTTGATTTACAGGAAATAAGGGCAGCCATACTGATAGTGCAGCATCTGGCTGACGTTCAATTTCATGAACAAGTTAAGTTATACTTACCTGACGTGTCATGCAGGTTATTCCCTGCTGGCGATTTAGTTTATAATGATGCTCCCTGGTTACTTGGCTCCGGTGATTTTGATAAATCCTTTGCTGAAGCATCTACAATGGCTTTTAATGCAAGAAGAACAGTTCAGAAATTTGTCCATGGAAACATATCTAATGAGGTTGCAGAGAAGCTTGGTGTCTGTTCGCTTCGTAGGATCTTGCTAGCAGAGAGTGCTGATTCAATGAATTTGAGTTTATCTGGGGCTGCTGAAGCATTTGGACAGCATGAAGCTTTGACAACAAGGCTTAAACATATACTTGAAATGTATGCTGATGGACCTGGTATTCTCTTTGAGTTGGTTCAAAATGCCGAAGATGCAGGAGCTTCTGAGGTGGCCTTTCTCTTGGATAAAACTCAATATGGGACCTCTTCTGTTCTTTCTCCTGAAATGGCGGATTGGCAGGGCCCTGCATTGTATTGTTTCAATGACTCTGTTTTTAGTCCACAAGATCTTTATGCAATTTCTCGTATTGGTCAAGAAAGTAAATTAGAAAAGCCTTTTGCAATTGGAAGATTTGGGCTGGGTTTTAATTGTGTCTATCATTTTACAGACATTCCCACTTTTGTTTCTGGGGAAAACATTGTTATGTTTGATCCTCATGCTTGTAGTTTACCTGGGATCTCCCCTTCCCACCCTGGACTGCGAATTAAATTTGTGGGGAGAAAAATTTTGGAACAATTTCCTGATCAGTTTTCTCCATTCTTACATTTTGGGTGTGACTTGCAGCATCCATATCCAGGTACCCTCTTCCGTTTCCCTCTTAGGAGTGGTAGTGTTGCCTCACGAAGCCAGATAAAGAAAGAAGGATATGCTCCAGAAGATGTCATGTCGCTTTTTGCTTCTTTCTCTGATGTTGTTTCTGATGCTTTGGTTTTTCTCCGCAACGTGAAAACTATCTCCCTATATGTGAAGGAAGGAACAGGTGAAATGCAACAGCTACATCGTGTACATCGGAATTGCATTAGTGAGCCAGAAACAGAATCCAATGCACTGCATAACATGTTTAGCCTGATCAGCGGAAAACAGCATAAAGAAATGGATAAAGATCAGTTGCTGAAGAAATTGAGTAAGTCCATTGACAGAGATCTGCCCTATAAATCTCAACAGATTATTGTGACAGAGCAAAGATCATCTGGTGGTATCTCTCACTACTGGATAACTAGTGAGTGCTTAGGTGGTGGACTAACTAAGAAAAACCCCACTTCTGAAAAGTTTCATAATTCAATCCCTTGGGCTTGTGTTGCTGCATATATACATTCTGTCCAGGTGGAGGGTGAATTTAGTGATGTTCGGAACATAGAGGATGCTTATACTTCTGACATATTTCGAGTTTCCTTGGATTCCATTAAAAAGAGAAAGAATTTTGACGGCCGTGCCTTCTGCTTTTTACCGCTGCCAATCAGTACTGGTCTTCCAACACATGTTAATGCATATTTTGAGTTATCATCCAATCGAAGGGATATTTGGTTTGGAAATGACATGGCGGGTGGAGGCAAAAAACGCTCTGACTGGAATATGTATCTCCTTGAGGATGTTGTGGCCCCCGCTTACTCTAGATTGCTTGAAAAAATAGCATCAGAGATTGGACCATGTGATTTGTTTTTTTCATTTTGGCCAACAACAATAGGATTAGAACCTTGGGCATCGTTGGTGCGGAAGCTTTACATATTTATTGCTGATTACAGTCTTCGTGTTTTGTATACAAAAGCTAGAGGTGGACAGTGGATTTCAACCAAGCAGGCTATTTTTCCTGATTTTACTTTTTATAAGACTCATGAGCTAGTTGAAGCATTATCAGATGCTGGTCTACCCCTTGTGACTGTTTCCAAGCCAGTTGCGGAGAGATTTATGGATGTCCAACCCTTTTTACATTTTCTGACACCCACATTGTTAAGGACTCTCTTGATTCGGCGAAAGCGTGGATTTAAGGACAAGAATGCAATGATCTTGACCCTTGAATATTGCTTATTTGACTTTACAATTCCTGTTCATGCTGATAATCTGTATGGTTTACCTTTGTTACCTCTTGCGGATGGTTCATTTACAATGTTCGAGAAGAATGGGGCTGGTGAAAGGATCTTCATTGCTCAGGGGGATGAATATGGTCTTCTCAAGGATTCACTTTCGCATCAACTAGTGGACTCACGGATTCCGGAAGGAGTTCATGAGAAACTATGTGACATAGCTCGAAGTGGGCAATCAAATATATCTTTTCTGTCATGCCAGTTGCTTGAGAAGCTCTTTTTGAAATTACTTCCAGTGGAGTGGCAGCTTGCTAAAAAGATAACTTGGTCCCCTGGTCATCAAGGTCAACCAAGTTTGGAATGGATAAGATTACTGTGGAGCTATCTTCGAACATGTTGTGATGACCTGTCAATATTTTCTAAGTGGCCTTTACTGCCTGTGGCAGATAATTATCTCGTTCGGCTAACTGAAAATTCTCATGTGATTAAGGATGATGGGTGGAGTGAAAACATGTCTTGTTTGCTGCTCAAAGTAGGATGTGTGTTCTTGAGAAGTGACCTGCCTATAGAACATCCACAGTTGGAAAAATTTGTGCAGCCTCCAACAGCAATTGGCTTATTAAATGCATTTCTGGCAATCACTGGTAAGCCTGAGGATGTTGAGGGGCTATTCTGTGATGCATCAGAAGGGGAGCTGCATGAACTGAGGAGTTTTATTCTTCAGTCCAAGTGGTTTTTTGAGGAGCAAATGAGTGACACACAGATTGAGATTATTAAACACCTCCCTATGTTTGAGTCTTATAGAAGTAGAAAGCTAGTTGGTTTGAGTAAACCTATCAAATGGCTTAAACCTGATGGTGTTCGTGATGATCTTTTGCATGATGATTTTATACGGACAGAGTCAGAAAGAGAAAGAATAATTTTGAGAAGATACATAAAGATTAGAGAGCCATCAAGGGTGGAATTTTACAGAGTTTATGTTCTTGATCGCATGTCAGAATTCCTATCACAGCAGGGAGCTCTTTCAGCCATTCTTCATGATGTGAAACTCTTGATTGAAGAGGATACCTCCATGAAATCAGCACTTTCCATGACATCTTTTGTTTTGGCAGCCAATGGATCTTGGCAACAGCCATCCAGGTCATTTTGCTTTCTTTTCTATTTTTTTATTATTATCTTTTTTTTATCCTGATTTTTGTCGGAGAAAAGTTTAGGCTCTCATCACTACAATTGATTATGAGATTCAAAGGGTGTTAAAATCAGGATCTCCTGTGGGATCTGTTGGAACTGGATAGGAGATTGCCAAATTCTAAAGCTTATGGAAAAATAACAACCACTTGTGTTGGTGGATTTAAAAAATTCTCTAAATCAGAAGAGACGAAAATAACACTGAATAATCATAAGTATGGATAATAAGGACTAACAATTTGATCCTATGATAATTTAAGGGTTGTGGTTCAAACATGCATCTTGGATCCATTCGATATCATGGTACAATTATAACTTTTCTCTGTCTTGACTGATCCCCTTGCAGTAATTATTACTCAAACTTGTGGCAAAAAATTAACAGACCCATTAAAAAAAATTCCAAGAAATTTTCATTTGAGAAAAAAAAAAAAAAAAAAAAAAAAAAAAAAAAATTGCAGACTAATCTCTACTGAGGAAGAACTTGCATTTGGTCAATAGGGAAATTTTTTTCGTTCTCATGATAAAGGTGTCTGAGATATAGAAATTTTGGTTCTTTAGGTGAATGGCTATGGAGATTTCCTTTGGAGTCTAACTCACTTTGGCATGATTTATTGAAACTATGTATCGTCTTCAAGCAAATGGATGAGATTCTAATGTGGTGTTGAGAAGAATCCATCCTTTCTTTTTTTGGAACAAAACTGTGTATTTACTAAGAAAGGAAAATATTCTTAAGCTGTGCTAGGTTCTTGTGTTTTAATTATTTGTCGAGAATCATTTTTCTTTTGGTGGGGAGAAAAAGCTTTGGATTTGTGGGATGTTGTGAAACTCTTCTTGAGGAGTGTCAAACAATTTCAGCTTTTCTTTATTTATAAAATTGAGATGCTTTTTTGTTTTTGAATATTCTCATTTGCTTGTCTATATTGAGTTAGACTGCTAGTTCACCAAAGAGAGTTCAAATGATTTCAAATTAGTGAGTTGTAGGTATAAAAAATAAATAAATAAATTATTAATAACATGAGAATCAGAATTTGATTTGGAAATTGCAATTAAAAGAAAAAAAAATTAATGGCAAAAGACTAGAAGGATGAATAAAACAAATTAGAAAATAATATTAACAGAAACCAGAAAATAGAGTTTGTTAGATGGATTTTGGTACTACTGTGACACTTGATAAATTCTTTTTCTTTGTAATCTTTTGGAATTGTATGCTTATATCTTTCTTTGAATGTCTCTAAACAATGAAGCTCAAAGCAAAGGAAAATTATAGTATTAAATTGGTATTTTATTACTTTCTTGCAACAACCTAACTTATCAGCCTGTTAAAAATGGTTTATCATCATCTCCCTCACTATAATAGTTTTTGCAGGCTTTATGATCCTCGTGTCCCTGAGCTACAAAAGCTGCTTCACAGAGAAGTGTTCTTTCCTTCTGACAAATTCTCAGATCCTGAAATTTTGGATACTTTAGTTGGCCTTGGGCTTAAAAGAACTTTGGGTTTTACTGGGTTGCTTGATTGTGCTAGATCAGTATCAATTTTCAATGATTCTAGTGACTCAAAAGCACTTAGTTGTGGAAGGACGTTACTTAAATGTTTGGATACTCTTGCACTTAAGCTCTCAACTGACAAGAGACAAGGCAATAGCGCTGAACTGTTGAATGCTATGCTTATTCAGAATAACAATGTCGTGGGTGGTGATGCCGCATACGTTGACCCTTCAGTGAGAGATGAGAACCATTCAGAAGATTATCTGGTGGACAGTGATGCTAGATATGTTGACTCTTCTGTTAGAGATGAGAACCATTTAGAAGATGATCTAGACATTGCCTTTCTCATTGAAAACTTAATCAATGGTGAACCAGAAGAAAACTTTTGGTCTGAAATAAAGGCCATCACCTGGTGTCCCATTTCTCCTGATCCACCTGTACAGGGACTGCCTTGGTTGAAAACCAGTAAACAAGTAGCATCTCCAAGCATCGTGAGACCTAAGTCGCAGATGTGGATGGTATCATCTACCATGCATATACTAGACGGTGAATGTGGTTCGATTTATTTACAAAATAGACTTGGTTGGATGGACAACATAAGCATAGATGTCTTAGTCACACAACTAGTTGAATTATCAAAGTCATATGGCTGGCTTAGGTTGAATTCTATGTTGGAAACTGGTTTTGATGCTGCACTCCAAAAGGGAATTCCAATTCTTTATTCAAAATTGCAAGAATATATTGGTACTGATGATTTTATGCTTCTTAAATCAGCTTTGGATGGTGTTGCTTGGGTTTGGATTGGGGATGACTTCGTATCTCCAAAGTCACTTGCATTTGATTCACCTGTGAAATTTACCCCTTATTTATATGTTGTCCCATCTGAGTTATCAGAGTTCAGGGAGTTGCTTGTTGAATTAGGTGTGAGACTTAGTTTTGATATTTGGGACTATTTCCAAGTTTTACAATGCTTACAAAATGATGTCAAAGGGGTTCCACTATCAACTGATCAGTTAAGTTTTGTCTGCTGTGTCCTTGAAGCAGTTGCAGACTGTTGCTCTGGCAAACCATTGTTTGAGGCTTCTAATACTCCATTACTAATTCCAGATTCTTCTGGAGTCCTTATGCAGGCTGGTGATCTAGTATATAATGATGCACCATGGATAGAAGACAATGCTGTTGTTGGGAAACATTTTATTCATCCATGTATTAGCAATGATTTGGCTGATAGGTTGGGGGTAAAATCAATTCGGTGTCTCTCGCTAGTAGATGACGACATGACTAAAGATCTTCCGTGCATGGATTTTGCTAGAATAAATGAGCTTCTTGCTTGGTATGGGAACAATGATTTCTTGCTGTTTGACCTTCTGGAGTTGGCAGATTGTTGTAAAGCTAAGAAGCTGCACCTGATCTTTGACAAGAGGGAACATCCTCGCCAGTCTTTGCTCCAGCACAATTTAGGTAATTAATACTTATCCTGATTTTGTTACTTCTTTAGATGATCCTAACATATAAGAAGGATCATTTTATTGATAAAAATTCGTAATTTTTGTTTGCCATTGAGTTGTTTGAGAATGAAAGACTAAGTAGTGGTTCTTTTGATTTGCATCTTGTCACTTACATGGGCAGTGGTGAAATGATGGTTAGATACTACCAAACTACAAAGCTTTGCAACTCTAACGATTAGTTGAATTCTGTAGTGCTGGTTCAACTTAGTTTAATCTGCATTTTGTACTTTGTGGGACCACTATCATGTTTAGCATGAAGTTTAGAGCTATATTAATAGAGTATTCACTTTAATTTTCAATAGTTAACTATTCTGTATATTTACTTAAAATTGTGGCTGGGACAGGTGAATTTCAAGGGCCTGCTCTAGTTGCTATTCTGGAAGGGGCCAGCTTGAGTAGGGAGGAAGTTAGTAGTCTTCAGCTTCTTCCTCCTTGGAGACTTCGGGGTGACATTCTTAACTATGGTTTGGGACTGCTTAGCTGTTACTTCATATGCGATTTCTTGTCTATTGTTTCTGGTGGCTACTTTTACATGTTTGATCCTCGTGGTTTGGCACTAGCTGCATCCTCAAGTCACGATCCTGCGGCAAAAGTGTTTTCTTTGTTAGGTACTTCAACCACAATCATTTTAATTGTATTATTCTCTATTATGTTCATACATATCACTCTTTCTGGCCTTTTTTCCTCAATTATCTTTTTGGGGTTCTTTGCCGAGTACAAATTATGTAGCAGAATTATATAAACATATTGTCTAAAGCAATTGCTTGTCTAAAAATAATAAAATTTCCGGACCAGGTCCTATATGAGAAAAGCAGCTTTCGAATTTGTTCATCAATTATTTATTCTTGGTCTCTAAAATTTTATAAATCATTATTTCCTACAAATAAAGTATAATTGACTATGAAAATGTTCACACGACCTTAGAAACTTTGGAAAAGAGAATTTTGATTTTCTTCCGTATAAGTTATTTCGTCTGGATCATCCCAATCTTGTTTTTCATGTTTTGAAGATAAGTTGGTGTCTATTGAAAGACGGAGGAAGAAAGAATATAAAGGCCATAGAAGAGAGAGTGAAGAAAATAATGTGTTTTAAAAAGTTCAACTCAATCATGTTATATGAAAAAATTTATTGGGTCTAGGTCAAAAATTTAATGTGTGCTTGGATCCAAGTGCCAAGTCCTTTAATTGATTTAACCATTCACTTGAGAGCTTATTAGAGTTTAATGTTGTTGTTAGAATTTTCCTATCAGCTTAAACTCTTATGTTTAATGATTTCTCAACAAAATAGAAGTTTATAAATCTGTCCCATTTTTCTGATGTGGTCTTACATACGCATGTTGTGCAATGCCTTTTCTTCCATGTTAATAAATCTGTAGTTTATTTCTTAAATTCCAAGAGTTTTTTGGGCTTCTTGTGGATTGATGTTGCTACCATCATAGTTTAAGGGATTTTTCTTTATTTTTTTTTTCTTGAAAAAAAACTGTATCTTCTCATGGATGAGGGATGATGTATTGAATAGTACTTCTATTTCCTTGATCTACTTGCAGGTACTAATTTGACTGAGCGATTTTGTGATCAATTTAAAGCAATGCTAATTGGTGAAAATATGTCATCTTTGGATTCTACTGTTATTCGCATGCCTCTATCATCAGAGTGCTTGAAAGATGGAGTTGAAATGGGCTTTACGAGAGTAAAGCAAATAATTGACAGATTTTTGGAGCATGGTTCTAGGGCTCTTATATTCCTAAAGTCTGTTTTGCAGGTACAAAAAGTTCTATCAACTTTGGTACTGCCTGCATGCAGCTGCAATGCATAATTTATCCTGAATATATTCTGTGCCTTCTCTCTTGTTAGAGAATTAGGATATGAAAAGGGCTATCTCACTTTTGGTTCTTTTTGTATAATATCTTGTCACGGATAACATTGCATCACATTTACTTTGCTTTTAAAAGTAATTATGATTGAGTATAGCACATGCACATCCACACAAAATATGCATAATTATGCATTGTCCCCATCACAACTAGAACTTTGGTGAAAATAACTTAAATTCCACTTTGAATGTCTAAATTCTAATTTGTTGTTATAGGAGATAGAGTAGACATGTTTAGATAGGTTTTGCAGACAGTTTAACCACTTAAGTTCTTTTTGAGATATAAACTTCTGAGACATTACCTTCCGTTCACAAAAATAAATTAGAAAACCTTTTAAATATATTGTATAGATGGTGAAGGTGGTTGGTTTTTCATTATTGACTCCATTGGTAATTCAACATAGTAATATAGTATCACAATCAGGTGGACCAATAAATCTTGTGCTTGAATTGTCTCATTGTATTAACTAAATAATATTAGTTGTATTTTGATCCATATGCCTTACACATTATTCTTTTTTTTCTTATGGAGACCCTGTCCACTTTTGTATGTCTTTTTCATCAGTAATACAAATCTTATTTTTCCTATAAAAATGCGATATGATGTCTAGTTAATATCAAATGCCCCATTATTATTGAAAAGTATTATTCAAAAGCCCCTTAAAATATCAAAATTTCACCTAATAATATCAAAAACTGTCTTATAAAAGTATCAAAAACCCCTGATATGGAGATAATTGATACTTTTCAATAATAGTGGGTGAGTTTCATCTAAGTGATCTCAAAAGGGGATAAATAAATAAACCGCAATTTTACCTACATGTTTTGTGTTCAAATTCCCTCTTATGTTAATTGAATTATTAGTCTCATTTTTGTTTGTTCTTTTGTGATTTAAATTGTATTTGTAGTTATGTCTATGATTGTAGTTGTGTTTGATTTTCATGCCTTACACATAAGGTTGTGTTTTAGAGTTTAAATGCTATTGTGAGGCTTTTTTCTTTAAACTTAAGTGTTTGACTTTAGTGGTTTTTAGAGCTTAAATACTATTGTTACACTATTACCTATTAATTTAAACTTTTAGGTTGAGTGGTAATTTAACTTGGTAACTGAGCTGTATTGACCAAATGATCTTATGTTTGAATCTCCTTCTGGTATTAAATTAATAATAACTTGTTCATTGTTGTGCTTGTGGTAGAAGTATATGGTTGGTCTACATGAGGAGGAGGAGGAGGAGGAGAATTATATGATTTCCTTTCAAGATTTATTGATTAATATGGAAATATTTTGTTAACAAACTTTATAATTGAAATATCTAAAAATGCTTATGCATTCAGGTATCACTTTCAACATGGGAAGAAGGCAGCTTGAAGCCATGCCAGGATTACTCAGTTTGTGTTGATTCATCATCTGCAATAATGAGGAATCCATTTTCAGAAAAGAAATGGAGGAAGTTTCAAATATCAAGGTTATTTAGTAGTTCAAATGCTGCAATTAAGTTGCATTTAATAGATGTGTACTTAGACCAAGGAGGAAGTAGAGTCGTGGACAAATGGCTAGTTGCACTCAGCCTTGGTTCTGGGCAAACAAGAAATATGGCTCTTGATAGGTATGTCTTCTTTGAAACTTGATCTTTATGTGAGGAATAAATATTATAGTTAAGCTAAATTCATGATTTTGTTAAAGAACTGCAGTCGAAAAAAAAAAAAAATCTGCCCAAAATAGATACATTTGCTCTTGTCTTGAAGCATTATGATCTTTTTCTTGTCAAATTAAAGAGGCCATTGTGTTAATGACTGGCAAGGATTTGAGGTTGACAAGTCGTGTATATGGATATCACCTTCTAGGCTGGCTATGTTATGCTAATATAAGTTAGGATTAGATTCAAGTCACCCCTCTCAGGGCCATGGGGCTGCATTGAATAATGCCTATTACTTTAGTTTTCTGTCATAATATCTATACACACATATAAGCACTTGTGTGGTGCATATGCCATTGCCTTTCCATTTTTCAGTTGGGAGAGTTCTGAGTATTATATGATGAGTTGTCATGTCTTTGGAATCTCTGTTTTTGAGACTGCAACAACTATGTGCCCCATGGTTCTTTTGATAGATATGTGATTTAGTTTAGTGGGAGCTATCATACTCTAATAGCAGATGTCTAAGGCTTGTTATAGGGAACCCATTTGGTATCGAAATTTGCCATAAAAATTCTCTTGAAATTATAAAAGTCAATATAAACCTTCCCTACTTACCCAAAAAAAAAAAAAAATATAACCTTCCCCTGAATTCATTAGACTTTGCTTGAAGTGCCATAAAACTTGTGAGAAACCTCCCTTATAGGCTGTTCCGCCTGTAAGTTGGCTAAACCTAGGGGTGACGGTTCCGGGTACCCTCCATTTTTGGGGGAATCGGAACCGGAACCGCACAGTGCAGGTTCCTAAAAAGGAACCGGAACCGGAACCGTACGTGCAGGTTCTTCAATTCAAGGAACCGGAACCTAAAATGCATTTTCGATTCCTTTCCGGGGTACCCTGTAAAAAATCAATTACCCCCCTATTAGTTTAAAAAATGATAAAAAATACCTTAAAAGTTTACAAATCACCCCTACAAATATACATTTGGGTTTAGGGTTTAATTATAATGTATATGATAATTATTAAATTGTTAATCATTTAATTAAGTATTGTGTAAATTGTAAATTACTAATATTTATAATATATGTCATATCAATTAAGATCATTAAATTATGTATGTTATATTAATTATATGATCATACTTAATAGTATAATGTAATGTTATAATGAATTAAATAACATCCTATAAATCTATAATTAATATTATAATTACTAAATTTCAAATCATTAATTAATATACTAATGTTTAAAATGAAATGTTATAATTGATTAAGTAATCATATTATAAATATATAAGTAATGTTATAATTAATTAATTTTTAATCGTTTAATTAAATAATATAATAATATAGTAAATTACTAATTGTTTATAATGTATGTTATAAATTCATAACTAATTATGTATCATTTAACTATGTAATGCTATATTAAGTAAGTGATCATAATAATGTAATATATAATTGTTATAATTTATTGAGTAATTATTAATTATAATGAATGCTTAATTAATGTTTATAATGAATGTTTATAAGGTAATTTATATATTAATTAATTTCTAATTATTAATTAAGTATTGTGCTAATGTTTATGTAGTAAATTGTAATTACTAATGTTTAAAACATAATATCTAACTCATATCATTTAAGTAATCATTAATTATGTATTATTATAATATTTGTGATCATACTATAGTCTATAGTATATTATAGTGAATAATAAATCAGATTATAGATCTTTAATGTTATATTTAATTAATAAATTTTAATCATTATTAAGTAATGTATAAATATGTAATAATTACCATGTTTATAATGTGATTGATAATTTTATACTAATTAAATATCATTTAACTATGTAATACTATAATTAATTAGTGATCATAATATAATGTAATGATTTATAATTTAATTAAGTAATTATTTAACTATATATATATTTAATATAAATTTCTAATCATTTAATTAAGTAATCATTTGTTATATTATGTTATATTTAATATTTTAAATTAATTATTATCTCATTAAATAATCATTAATATGTATGTTATAATTAATTATGTAAATCAACTTCTAACTATAATGTTTGAAATGTTACATGAATTAGAATTATCTATAATCTTTAATATAAATTATAATTAATTTGTTATTATAAATATTTGTATTTAATATATTTAATTATAATAATATTATATATAAAGTTACATTATTACTAATCGTTATAAATTTATAATGTAATTTGTAATTATTAAATTTCTAATCATTTATTAAGTATTATGCTAATGTTAGTATAAATAGTAATACTAATTAAATATATGTCAAAATCATTAATAATCATTTAATATGTAATGTATAATTAATTATATAATCAACTATAATGTAATGTTATAGTGAATTAACTATTAAGTAATTATACTAAATTTTTAATGTAATATTATAATTAAAATTTTATCATTTAATTAAGTTTGTATTAATGTTTATATAATGTTATATGACTAAGTAATTATACTATAAATCTATAATGTAATCTATATAATAAATTTCTAATTATTAATTAAGTAATAATTAAATGTTATAACTTATAAGTCAATTAATTAAGTAGTAATCAATTAATGTAATGTTATAATTATTACTATAATCAATTAGTAATGTTATAAAATTATAATTAATTAAGTAATCTTTAACTTAATGTAATGTTTAATTGATTAGTGATGATTTAACTAGTAATTAAATTTATTAATGTTTATCAATTTATCATATATAATTATTAATTACTAATTAATTAAACTTTATATTAATGTAATAATATATTAAGCTTTTAATATGGTGTATTTATATGTAATTAGTATAATTGTATTCGTATATTTATTAATTAAGTTATCTAAAAATTTAACTTTTTCAATTTTAATTTTTATATGTAAAATAATAGAAACCTCTATTATTCATATTCACACAATATTTCATTGTAGTCCAAGTTCCAAAATAGGTTCCAAACAGGTTCCAAAACAAGTTCCAAAACAGGTTCCAAAACAGGTTCCAAATAGTTCCAAAAATCGGTTCCAAACCGGGTACCCCTTACAGGTTCCAAACAGGGTACCCTTATACAGGTTCGTTCCAGTTCCGGTTTCTCTCGGTTCCGATTCCTCCACACACAAGAATCGGAACCGGAACTGCACAGTATCGGTTCCAAAAAATTGGAACCGGAATCTACCCGCACAGTACCGGTTCCGGGTAGGTTCCGGTTCTACCCCTCGGTTCCGGTTCTACCCGCTACCCGTGCTCACCCCTACTAAACCTCATGTGAGGTGATTGAAATTTTCCCTTAGCATGCACAAACACATAGAAAAGCTTATCAACCTTTCTTCCTGTATGCATGTCTTTACTTTGGTTTGGATTAGGAATCAATTGGTTATACTATGATGGACTGGTGTGGATTTCCGGCTCTTCTATGCGAATTGTTATTAAACTATAAAATCTATGTCTATAACCTAATACCTTTCTTTACCACTAGCCACCAGTTATCCATCAAATATCCTTACCAAGAAAGGAAGTATGGACTTCCATAAAATTACATGAAATACTGAAGTAGCAGTATGAATATGTGGTAACTAGTTATTCCTGTTTATTTATTTGCATTTGGTAACTCATCATTTTAAGTCACAATATTATAGAAATCTTTAAATCTAACCTGGGAGACCTGTTTGGAATTCATAAGAGAAAGAAGATAAGAAAGGAGGATGGATGAAGAGGAACTGATTCTTGCTTTTGGCTGAATCAAGTGTAATGACTTGAAAGTGATTTAAAACCAACATCTAATCTTTGATATATGACAAAAAAATGCTCTTTGAAGCGTGTTCCAGTTCATGGGCTATTTTTTCCTTGGGACTGCAACAGTAAGCTAATCAATAAATTATTTCTTTATAGTTTTTGGTATACCCAACTACTATAGCATTCTCTTTTCATTCTGTTTAATGTTAGGAGTAATTGTGAATTTACAATTAATTATTTGATTTTTTATTTCATAATTTATACAACATCTTATCTTGAAACTTGTTATTATGTGTTAGGGAGAAAATGAAAAGTCAACTTTCCTATGCTCATTTTCATTTATACAGCAAGAGTTTGACAAAATTACTATGTTTGACTTCCCACTGGTTTCTTTTTTCTGTACTTCCCAGAGGATGTCTTCCTGTTAAGTGAAAAGGTGTCTCATGGCACAATTCTTACTCATGTATGACTTTCTTTGCAGGCGATATCTGGCATACAATTTAACACCTGTAGCTGGAGTGGCGGCACTTATATCCCGAGATGGTCATCCTACTGATGCTCTTGGCACCAGCTCCATAATTTCTCCTCTTCCTTTGTCTAGTGATGTAGATTTACCTGTCACTGTCCTGGGTTGTTTCCTTGTGCATCATAATGGTGGTCGCTATCTCTTTAAACACCAAGACAAGAGAACTTTGGTTGAGGCACGGGCTGATGCAGGAGATCATCTAATTGAAGCTTGGAACAGAGAATTGATGTCTTGTGTTCGAGATTCATACATTGAAATGGTGGTGGAAATTCAGAAATTAAGAAGAGAACCATCAAGTTCTACCATTGAGCTTGCAGGTCGTGCAGTTCCCCTGGCTTTGAAGGCTTATGGAGATCAAATTTATTCCTTCTGGCCAAGATCTAATGCACATGTTCTTATCAATCAAACGGGTGAAGACAGCAACTTGACATCAGTCAAAGTGCGTAAAGCAGATTGGGAATGCATTATTGAACAAGTAATAAGGCCTTTTTATGCTCGCCTTGTTGATCTTCCTATGTGGCAGCTATATTCAGGAAATTTTGTCAAGGCTGAAGAGGGTATGTTTCTTTCACAACCTGGGAATGGGGTGGGTGGTAATGTGCTTCCTGCTACAGTTTGCAGCTTTGTGAAGGAACATTATCAGGTGTTTTCAGTACCATGGGAATTGGTGACTGAGATCAAAGCTGTGGGTGTTAAAGTTCAAGAAATTAAACCTAAAATGGTCAGGGATCTTCTACGGGTTTCGTTAACATCTATCGTTCTTCGGTCAGTTGATACTTATGTAGATGTTCTTGAGTACTGCTTGTCGGATATTCAATTCCTAGGATCACCAAATATCTGTGGAGATGATGCATCACATGATCCTGTTGACTCTAGTATTATTGACAGAGCTCCTAATGAAGTAGGCAGCAGTTCTGCTTCAGTATCATTGCCTTCTGTGCGTAGTTCTCATAGTGCCTCTTCCCAGACAGCAGCGAGTTCAGGTGATGCCCTTGAAATGATGACTAGCTTGGGGAAGGCTTTATTTGATTTTGGACGAGTAGTGGTTGAAGATATTGGTCGGGTTGGAGGGCCTCCAGTGCAGAGAGGCACCATGGCAGGTAGCAGTAACATCCACAGAAATGTTGACCCAAAGTTTCTATCAATAGCTGCTGAGCTCAAAGCCTTACCGTTTCCAACTGCAACAAATCATTTAGCAAGATTGGGTGTTACTGACCTTTGGCTTGGAAACAATGAGCAACAGACACTAATGAAGTCTTTAGCAGCAAAGTTTATCCACCCTAAAGTATTTGATAGAGCAATCTTAGCCGATATTTTTTCAAAATCTTCCATACAAACATTACTTAAACTGAAGAGTTTCTCTTTTCACTTATTGGCTAGTCATATGAGGTTGATTTTTCACAATAACTGGGTGAATCATGTAATGGAATCAAACATGGTTCCATGGTTTTCATGGGAGAATACATCAACTTCTGGTGGGGAAGGGGGCCCTTCTCCTGAATGGATAAGATTGTTCTGGAAAAATTTTGGTGGGTCATTGGATGACCTCTCTCTCTTCTCTGATTGGCCCTTAATTCCTGCGTTTCTTGGGAGGCCAATTTTATGCCGTGTAAGGGAGCGTCATCTGCTTTTTGTTCCACCTCTATATACAGATCAAATTCCTGGAAACATTGTTACAGATGTCAGTGCTGGAGGAAATGATATAACTGGATTACCTATGAATTATACTTCTGACTCAATCCAGTCTTACATCATAGCATTTGAAGTGGCCAAAGAAAAGTATCCTTGGTTGTTGTCTCTGTTGAACCAGTGCAATATACCCATTTTTGATGCTGCTTTCCTGGACTGTGCTGGTCCATGCAATTGTCTTCCTACACCTAGTCAATCATTAGGGCAAGTTATTGCATCCAAGCTTGTTGCAGCCAAACATGCCGGCTACTTCCCCGAACTTAGTTCTCTTTCAACTTCAGACAAGGATGAATTGTTTACTCTTTTTGCTCAAGATTTCCAGTCTAATGGTCCTAAATATGCCACAGAAGAACTTGAAGTGTTACGTTCTCTGCCTATATATAAAACAGTTGTTGGGTCATGCACACGTCTGCAAGACCAAGAGCAATGTATGATCTCTACTAATTCATTCCTTAAGCCATATGATGAGCGTTGCCTCTGTTATTCCTCAGATTCAATTGAATACTTGTTACTTCTAGCCCTTGGGGTCCCCGAATTGCATGATCAACAGATATTGGTACGGTTTGGGTTTCCTGGATATGAAGGAAAGCCAGCTTCTGAGCAGGAGGATATATTGATTTATCTCTATACAAATTGGCAAGATCTCCAAACAGATTCTTCTGTTGTTGAAGCTTTGAAGGAGACTAAATTTGTCAGAAATGCTGATGAATTTTCTGCAGATTTGTATAAGCCGAAGGATCTGTATGATCCTGCTGATGCTTTATTAATGTCTGTCTTTGCTGGTGAGAGGAAGAAATTTCCTGGAGAAAGGTTTGATACAGATGGGTGGCTTCGAATTTTAAGGAAAACAGGCCTTCAAACTTCAACAGAAGCAGATGTAATACTTGAATGTGCCAAAAGGGTAGAGTTTCTTGGAAACGAGCGCATGAATCTCTCAAGAGATTTTGATGATCTTGAGACAGACTTGATTCACTCTGAAAATGAAGTGTCTATGGAAATCTGGACATTGGCTGGATCAGTTGTTGAAGCTGTGTTTTCAAACTTCGCTGTCCTTTATGGCAATAACTTCTGTAATCAACTTGGCAAGATTGCTTGTGTACCTGCTGAACTAGGCTTGCCAAATGTCTGTGGCAAGAGGGTTCTTACTTCATACAGTGAAGCTATTCTGTCAAAGGACTGGCCTCTGGCTTGGAGTTGCGCCCCCATTCTTTCCAGACAAAATGTTGTTCCACCTGAATACTCCTGGGGAGCAATCCAGTTGAGGAGCCCACCAACGTTTTCCACTGTCCTCAAACATTTGCAGGTAACAATATAATATTTTTTGTTTTGCACGGTTAAGAGAACCAGCTTATGCAAATACAACTTTATCTAAAACAATGTGGTCTAGGTAATCGGGAAAGGTGGTGGTGAAGACACTCTTGCTCATTGGCCAATCACAACAGGCATGATGACCATTGATGAAGCTTCTTGTGAAATTTTGAAATACCTGGACAAGGTTTGGGGTTCTCTCTCCTCTTCAGGTAGCTCCCTGCTATTTTTATTCTAGCTACATAGTGTAAAACCTGTGCCCTTCTTTTTTTAACAAATTCTGGATATTAATCTAGCTTCTCTTTGGTCCTGTCACAAGAGAAATTCAAGATACTTATTTTTCTTCATTCACTTAAATTGGAAAGGAGGGTGCTGCTGATTTTGTTTTAAATTAACTTAATTGATAATAGAATATAGAGAGATAAGATGGGTTAGTTTTATTTTACATGGATTTGTATTGGAGTGAACAGTTTATTCACGTACTCTCCAATTTACCCTTTGTAGATCTCCTTTAAAATTCTTCAACTTAAAATTTTGTTTAATAAATTTGATACAAATTATCATTTCTTCATTTCATTTAATCCAATGGTTAATATGTAAAAAGTTACATTTAATGTTACCAACTTATCAACCCTATGCACCATTGGATTAAACGGATGGTTGGGACTTTGTGCCAAATTTTCAAGGTAAAACATTCTGCAGAGAATGGCATTTGGCTGCTGTGTATGTTTTAAGGGAAAGGGATTTACTTCCTTCTTTTTATTCTTCATATATGCAGATATAGCTGAGCTGCGGAGAGTAGCATTTTTGCCTGCTGCAAATGGAACACGTTTGGTGACAGCTAGCTGCCTTTTTGTGCGTCTGTCAATTAATCTTTCCCCATTTGCATTTGAACTTCCTAGTCTATATCTTCCTTTTCTGAAGATTCTCAAAGACTTGGGACTTCAGGACATGCTATCTATTGCTTCTGCAAAAGATATGCTTTTGAATCTCCAGAGAGCATGTGGGTTTCAGCGTCTAAATCCAAATGAACTTCGTGCTGTAATGGAAATTTTGTATTTTGTTTGTGATCAGACTGTGGAGGCTAACAGCTCTAACAGGCTTGACTGGGAATCAGATGCGATAGTCCCAGATGATGGATGCAGACTTGTTCATGCAATGTCTTGTGTGTATATTGATTCTTATGGCTCTCGGTATGTGAATTGTATTGACACCTCCAGGTTAAGATTTGTCCACCCAGATCTTCCAGAGAGAATATGTATTGTCTTGGGTATCAAAAAGCTATCTGATGTTGTGATAGAGGTTAGGTTAATCTTCTTGAACTTATTTCTTGGAACCATTCTTTTGATTTTAGTGATTGGTAATGGAGCTTTTATGTTAATTTGGAAAAATCAATGTCTGCAGGAACTTAGTCATGAAGAGCATTTACAGAATTTGGAATTTATTGGGTCTGTCTCACTAGCAGTCATCAGGGAGAAGCTGTTAAGCAGATCATTTCAGGGTGCTGTATTTAGTCTTGTAAATAGTACAGCCAGTTACATTCCTACAATTAATAATTTAGCTTTGGGAACCATACAAAGTTCACTTGAATCTGTTGCCAAGAATTTGCAGTTTGTTAAGTGCCTCCATACTCGTTTTATGCTCGTCCCAAGATCCATGGACATAACCCTTGTTGCTAAGGATTCCCTCTTTCTGGAGTGTGATAAAGGATTCAAGCATCGCACTCTTTACTTTCTAAACCAGTTAAACACCTGTGTTTTAGTTGCTGAACCACCAACCTATATATCTGTTCATGATATCATTTCGATTGTTGTGAGTCAAGTTTTAGGCTCCCCCTTGCCACTACCTATAGGATCTTTATTTTTCTGTCCTGAAGGCTCTGAAACTGCAATTGTCGACAATTTGAAACTTTGTTCTGGCAAGAGAGATGTTGAAACCATTAGTAGTTTAGTTGGCCAAGAAATTCTGGCTAAAGATGCTCTTCAAGTGCAATTTCACCCATTAAGACCCTTTTACAGAGGAGAAATAGTGGCATGGCGGGTTAAACAGGGAGAGAAGTTGAAATATGGTAGTGTTCCAGAAGATGTAAGACCTTCAGCTGGTCAAGCACTGTACAGATTCAAGGTGGAAACCTCACCTGGAGAGACTGAGTCTCTTCTATCTTCACAAGTTTTCTCATTCAGAAGCTTGCTGGTTGGCAATGAGGCTTCTGCAGAAACCATACCAGATGAGAAGAATGCAGGAACTGATAGCAGGTCCCATGATATGCCAGAAACGTCCAGAAGACGCAAAATGAAAACTTCTCAGGTTTGGGTCTCTGACTTGGTAACTCTTAGAAATTTGATCTCTTTGGCATGATTATAATAGAAAGGTCACTATAATCTAATTTTATTCCAGACTGCTTAGCAGATACTATTGTGATAGTCTTGCTAGATCATGTACTTGTGATGATGAACCTATATTCAAGTTTGTAATTTGCTAGTTGTGCTTGGTCTACATGCCTAAAGTGTGAGAGGCATGTCAAAGCTTAAGATACTGTTATTGGTTCCTCACTTACTAGTTTCAGATTCTGGGCAAATTTTAACTTCACACTATTTTTGTACATAATTCTAACGATCTATTCCTAGTAATTTAAAGAAAACAACAGCCAATGCTACTAATTAATAGTTTAGGTTACCTAAATAAAATAGCTCCAAAATACGTAACTCCAAAATTCCTAAATGTAAATATAATTCCTATAAACTATAAACCTTAGTCCATTTGTTTTCTATCACACAAGTTATGGAATGTAGACCCCAATTTATTGATTGATCATGTCTCAAGGGTTGATACCTAATCCATTATATTACTTCTGTTTTCCTCTCATTTATGCAATCCTGTACTGTTTCTTATAGAAGAAACAAAAATCATTTATCATCTCTCAGGTATCAAGCATTAACTGAGAAGGCTTTCCTCCAAACAATTGCCTGGTAAAGAACAAATGTATACTAGTAGTTAAAATAAAACTCAACAATGCAAATAATTAATATCTTAACTTACCTAAATAATATAGTTATAAAATCCTAATGATGAAAATCCTAAGCATAAAATGATTTCTACAAACAATAAACCTTAGTCCCTTTGATTTCCATTACATGGGTTATTTAATGTTAAGTGCTAATTGATTGTATAATCAACTCTCAAGTATCAAGCGCTTACTGAGAGGCTTTCTTTTGAGCAGTCACAACCTGGGAAAGAGCTCCAGTTTGGTCGAGTATCAGCCACGGAACTGGTTCAGGCAGTTCATGAGATACTTTCTGCTGCTGGAATCAGTATGGGTGTGGAGACACAGTCTCTACTGCAGAAAACCATTACTCTACAAGAACAACTGAAGGAGTCTCAAGCTGCACTTTTGCTTGAGCAGGTTTGTATCTTGCAGTTCTGAAATATGAATACGTTTTTACCATTGCTATTTGGTGTTGGCAGAAGGGACATAAGATGCTGATGTTGTAGCAAAATAGCTCATGAGTGTGCCAATGATATAGTTTTTGTATATGCTTCAATGCTTTCTATGTCTCTATGAACATACCTGTGAAACGATCATAATTGTCTCTGAAAGCCTTGGCCTCTTAATATATGAAACTCTCTTTTTGGGGACACTTTTTAAAATTTTACAGTATAGATGATATCTCTGCCTGGACATTTGCGTGATCTGCATGGAATTTTACATGTCGGAATATGAGCTAACCTTGGGCTGTTTATAGATCATTTTCTGCTCCAAAATTGTTGAAATGCTACTGTGTGTGAGGTAGAGTCTGCATTCTTGCATTTTTGTGCCTGCACTTGCATGTTATTTGAAAGTTTAATTATTAAGAGCACAACTCCCAATGGTGTTTGTAGCAAGAGCAATATTTGTGTTAGCTAGAATCTAATGTTTTGTACTTAAGGGAAAAACTCTTATTCTGGGCAAAATGTGCAGGAAAAGTCAGATGGAGCAATGAAAGAAGCTGATACAGCAAAAGCAGCATGGGTTTGTCGGGTGTGTTTGAGCAATGAAGTGGATATGACAATAATTCCATGTGGTCATGTGCTTTGTCGTAGATGCTCATCCGCTGTTGCAAGGTGTCCATTCTGTAGACTTCAGGTCACTAAAACCATCAAAATTTATCGGCCATGATTCTGTTAGGTGGTTTTATAAGTTAGATGAGTTATATTATAAGTGGAACGATTGTTATGTATAGCCTTGTTTTTATATTGATTCTTTTTTGGGAGAAAGTAGAAGGCAATGGAAGAAATGTTCAAATTCCGAATCACATCAGTAGTGTTGAAGAGAGGGTTGGCTTGTTCATTTAACACGTTCTTGTAGGGATGAGTTATATAGATTGAGTCATTCTTTTTGAACAATGCTACTTGTGTAATATGTATAATGATTTTGTATACTTATGTACAGAAGTAACAGAACAAACAAATTATAAGTTAATAGTCATGATGGTATTCTTAAAAGTTAAAATCCTCCTGCTCAAGGGCAAATTAATTTCAAGCATTCAGCCGAGTTATTTGTAAGCAGTTCTATCAAATTATTATTATTATTATTTTTAATTATTTGAAGCAAACTCATGTAGTCAAGAAATTTGTTTGAGTGCATAATCATTAATCAGTTTGCAAGGGGAATGAAAATCTGAGAAGGTAAAAACTAAAAAGTCCACCAAGTGGAGATGCGGGGTATCGATCCCGGTACCTCTCGCATGCTAAGCGAGCGCTCTACCATTTGAGCTACATCCCCATTTGATAAGCCTATAGATTTAATTAAAAATATAAGATTGTCAGAATCTATGGGTTTTTATCATCCGCCCCCCAAACAGATGAAGTCCAAACAGATGAAGTAATCAAACATCCAAAAGTTTTCGCGAAATTATTACCTTCCTTCAGGGAATTTTCGTTACTTTTAGAAAATCCTGGGTGCGTTCATTATCATTATCTCTCTCAGGGGGGCAGATGATAAACAGCAGTATCTTACGAAGATTTGAGACGCTTGATGAAACTACCCGCGTAGCCGTTGATAACCACCAAAACCATTCGGATAAGAAACAAAGAGAGAGCCTTCTTTACATTACACACACTGGTACAACAATGGCCACCACTCTCCGTCTCAGCGAACCAGTCATCTTGGTCAAACCTTCTTTGACTTCTCTCTTCCTTCCTCGCTCTATCCCTACAACTCCACCCCTACCACCACATTTCCACCCACGAGCTTCTTCTCTTCAAAAAACAACTTACACTTCATCGCTCAATCGCAGACACTTAATTTCTCAAACAGCCTCATTATCGCTGTCTCTCTCTATTGCTACTACACTATACCAGCAACCCGCAAAGTCTGAAGAAACGCTCTCCGCGTGGGAGCGCGTCTACCTTCCTATTAATCCTGGTGTTGTTCTTCTTGACATCGCTTTTGTGCCTGATGACACGAACCACGGTATGTTTTTGTATAATTTTATAAATTTTGAGTTTAGTTGAGTTGATAATTTTTTGTAAATAAACGAGTAATTGTGTTTGAGTAAGATGGGATGTTTGGTTGGCTTGGTAGGCTTTCTCTTGGGAACCAGGCAGACACTTTTGGAGACCAAAGATGGTGGAAAAACGTGGTTTCCGCGGTCGATACCGTCCGCCGAAGAGGAAGATTTTAATTATAGATTTAATTCGATTAGCTTTTTGGGGAAGGAAGGTTGGATTGTTGGGAAACCTGCAATTTTGTTGTACACTTCCGATGCTGGAGAAAGCTGGGAAAGAATTCCATTAAGTTCTCAACTTCCTGGAGACATTGTAAGTTTGCATTTCAAATAACTGAAATTCTAGAGATGTCTACGACTTCACTTGTAACAAATGAAGTGGAATAAACTAATTCTGAATATCAATCACGGTGGAGGTCATTTTTTTTCTTGAATTATGAAACTTTTGTATCATTGTAAAATAGTTTAAGAAATTCTTGAATTGTGAATGCAATTGTAATGACAAAAGAAACCAGAGACCGCCTTTCTTTTTTTTTTTTTTTTTTTTTTTTTTTGTGTTTATTTTATCAAGTTTTTTTTTCTTCTTTTATTACTTATCTTTTCTCCAGACTTTATTATTATTTTTTATTCTCCAGGTACAATATCTACGGAAACTTTTGGAAGTATTTTTGTTTTGTGTAGAGATTTAAACCTTTTGTTTGTTCAAGTTGATTTGAAAATGCTAATGTGATTCTGTCATGACATATGCAGGTGTATATAAAGGCCACTGGTGACAAGAGTGCAGAGATGGTGACAGACCAAGGTGCAATATATGTTACATCGAATAGGGGCTATAACTGGAGAGCTGCAGTACAAGAGACTGTTTCTGCAACTCTTAACAGGTGAATTTATGCTTAAATTTTAGTTTTACTGCAGATTGTTTTCTGAGGAAGGTTTTTTGGTCACTTAGCTATACCAAATAGTTACAATTTACGCTTATAGATTTTTCAATCTAGAGAAAAATCTGGTTCATTGACCTGATAGATTTTTCGTTTCATCTTTGTTTTATGAGTTTTTCACCTTTCTTTGGGGTTAGCACTTAGCACACATTTCGTGTTGCGTTGCAATTTTCCTGAATTACGGGTAATAGTTAACTTTATACGGAGAAAAGATGTTATATTTGATCGCTCTCCTTTTTGAGATGCTCTGCATCATGCCGTCATGCATATATGGTTCACTGATATTTCTTTTAGTAATTATTATACTCCTTTTTGTTGCTACAGAATAAGATTCATTCTTTTTCAAATTTTTATTTAAGCTATTGCTTTTGACCATATAAAATGAGTTTCTGTAACACCCCGGCCCAACACCGTCGAGTTGTCCACTTTGGCAACCTGGGTGGTTCGACTCCGAAGCTTAGCAACTCACGATTTTGTTTTCAGGTCTAAGAACCCTTGTTCAAGCCCAAAACACGTCTTGACTATTGAGAGGGTTCCCCCGGTATTTAACCAGCTCAGACCCCTCCTTCCCAAGCGATGTAGGATGTCTTAATCTCCTCCTCTTAGGATCCAGCATCCTCGCTACGATCCCTCTTGGGCTAAGCAAGATCTTTTGACTATCTGCATGCTTTCGGTTGAAATTGGCTTTGATTCCAATTGTAATACCCCGACCAACTGCCTGCCCAACACTGTCAAGATATTTCCTCTTTGACAGCCTGGGTGGTCGGACTCCAAAGTCAAGCCCCTCACGGTTTTATTTTCAGGCCCAAAACCCTTGGTCAAGCCAAAAACGCGTCTTGACTATTGGGAGGTTCCCCTGGTATTTAACCAGCTCTTGCCCTCCTTCCCAAGCAATGTGGGAAACTACCCAATTACCTGGTCCTGTCAAGATGATACAGACAAATTTATTCACCTTTATTCTTGAGCTTGGCATTTTGATCCTCTTCTTTTATATAATTAATAAAAATCATTGGTGGGAGATTTTAATGCCCTTCATTATCTCCAATAAGATATAGATGTCTGTAATATTGACATATTGTCTCTACAAAAACTCACCTGAAGAGCTAAGATGTTACAAAATCTGTATAACAGATGAAAGTTTCAAACGAGCAGAGTATATTTACATAGCTTCATTGCTTTTGCAGAACAGTTTCTAGTGGAATTAGTGGTGCAAGCTACTATACCGGAACTTTTAATACTGTCAATCGCTCTCCAGATGGAAACTACGTTGCTGTCTCAAGCCGTGGTAACTTCTATCTAACTTGGGAGCCTGGGCAGGTACGTTTCTTTTCTCTTAGATACCATTCCGGTTTTCTGCATATGTAGATCATGCTATACCATTCGGATTCATCGGTAGAAAAAACTTCCTGTTCCATGTATAGTGAATTTGTTCTATACTATAAATTGGAATGTTTGTTGATCTGTAACTTTTCTTGTATCAGCTAAGCCACCAACAACATTACACTTGCTCAAATGATAACAATGGAACAGAATGTTCTGATACAATTGCAAATCTTTTTAGTATTACTTGCCTATAAATACGATGTGCTTGTATTAATTTATATGTTTTGTGGCGTACTTATGGTATAAAAATCCGAGCTCTAATTGGGATAGCAATCATGTTTGATCACTATAGCATTATACATTTCTAATCATGACGTTCATTGTATCTAAAAATATGAATTTACGTAGCTAAATGGTTTAGCTACAAATGCAATTTTTTATAGTTTATCGTAGCTACAAGTGGCGCCTTACGNAATGTTTGTTGATCTGTAACTTTTCTTGTATCAGCTAAGCCACCAACAACATTACACTTGCTCAAATGATAACAATGGAACAGAATGTTCTGATACAATTGCAAATCTTTTTAGTATTACTTGCCTATAAATACGATGTGCTTGTATTAATTTATATGTTTTGTGGCGTACATATGGTATAAAAATCCGAGCTCTAATTGGGATAGCAATCATGTTTCATCACTATAACATTATACATTTCTAATCATGACGTTCATTGTATCTAAAAATATGAATTTACATAGCTAAATGGTTTAGCTACAAATGCAATTTTTTATAGTTTGTCGTAGCTAGAAGTGGTGCCTTACGCAGCTAACAATTTATATGTTATGTCATAGATGAGATTAATATGTGACTAAAAACTTAAATGTTTTTACCATAACAATAATAAATTTGTAGCAAAAGCTTTGCCTTTATAACTATGGAGAATAGTCTGTAGAGTTATGTTTGCATTTTAGCTACACAAATATAAATTTATAACTAAAACTTAAAAATTTCTGTTACAAAAATAATATCCATGGCAAATGTATTAACATTTTAGCTACGTGACCACTAGATTTGTAACTAAAGAAAAAGATTATTTGCCACATATATAGTGAATTCGTAACTAAATATTAAATTATTTGTTACGGACATATAGAAGTCGTATCTATATATGAAAAGATATTGCTATGGACATAGTGTATTAATAGCTAAATAATGAAATTACTTGTTATGAATATTTTTGATTTGTAACTAAATATTATAATTATTTGCTATGGAAATATTGAAGTCATATCGATGGAGAGCATGGTGGAATTGTAAGATATACATGATCACGCCCAATGCAGCGGAATTAAATTGTTTGGGAATTTGATGGAATTTTAAATATTAGGAAGTGATCCCACTATTAGGTCTTAATTTTTCTCAAGTTTCAAATTATCCACATGAAATCTCTTGTACTATGTCTAGCTATGATCCAATTACTGTAATTTCATATTCATTTAAGAATGCTGATAGAGGTTTATTACAATTATATACAATTGCAGCCATATTGGCAGCCACATAACAGATCAATTGCAAGAAGAATACAGAACATGGGATGGAGAGCAGATGGTGGTCTTTGGCTTCTTGTTCGGGGAGGGGGGCTTTTTCTCAGCAAAGGCACTGGGGTAAGTATCTGTGATTGAGGCCTGAACCCTGAACCCTAAACCTTAAACCCTGAACCCTGAACCCTGAATCCTGAATCCTGAATCCTAAACCCTAAACCCTAAACCCTGAACCCTGAGGACATTTATCACAAACTTTTTTTTTTTTGTTCCAGAGTGCGTTTTTTAAAATAATCATGAAGAAATATGATCAATGCTCACGTAAGAATTGGCTTATTAAGAAACAGAGGAAAAATAAAATTTCATCTTGTTATCGCAAGAAAAAAACTGTGAGGGAAAATAAGCATTTGAAAAAAATAAATGAATGAAATAAAAAATTAGGCACATAAAAATATATTTTTTCATTTTGTTGGCAGAAGCAATAAACTATACATAGATTAGTCGTGTGGACCTAAGGTAGAAGGGGGAGTATAAAAGCACATATAACAACAAAAGCAGAATAGACTTTTGTTTGAACCTTTTCCTCGAATTATGGAATAGTGAGATTCCAAAATTTAATTTGAAGAGCTTAATGTTTGAGCTTTTAAATTTTAGGTTAAATGGGTGCTTGCTACGATACCAAATCTCAAAAGCTAAGATGGAATCTTCTGGTTATCATGTATCTACTTATATATACTGAGAAAGTCTATGGTATCATAATGATATCACGTTAGCGGTACCACAAACGAATATATTTGACACGTAGGTTTTCAATTCATTAATCACCAAACAAATTAATTGTAAAGATACTAAAGAGAAATAAAATTTAGAAGTGACATAAATTTATTGGGTTTTGGTGTGCATGACGTGGTACCACTGTGTTATTCTAGATTTTCTCTTATATACCACGTCAATCGTATCACAACTCAATTAATTTATGTCACCTCTAAATTATTTCTCTATCATCTATCTCTACAAAATCTGACTGGTAGCTGCTATATATTTCATATAGATGTGGCTTGTGATATCACTGTTGTGGCATCATTGTGGTAGCATAGATGTTCACTTGTATATGTGTTATGCTCTCTTAGCCAAGCCTTCTAACCTTGCTAACATGAATTCATATAATGTAGAAGAATCATATATTTTCTTTTATAAAAACTAAAGATATTGAATTAATAAGTTAAAAGATCAATTAAGTTACTGTTGTGTATTAGGATCATCTGTGAAACCAGAAAATTCTCATGGAGGGATAAGAAAACTATACGCACACGCTCAAAAGCACCTGCATTTGATCTCCCTAAGTCCCTTGTTTCAAGTTACACTGAAATTGATCGCTGCTGTGTCAGATGGTTGTTTTTGGGCATTGTCAGTCATAGAAATTCTGATCGGTGATTCATGAGGTCAATTTGTTACCTAATAGTTTAGATTGTGATTTTCCATTTGTTTTTAATATATACCTCCATCAGTTTCCATGATATCGGTGTTTGCTTATTATATTTATAGCTTCTTCACCCATTGCTCGCCCTCATATTCCAGTTGTTGATGCACAGCTTCTGTTTGATGTTTCAGATAACAGAGGAGTTTGAAGAAGTTCCAGTTCAAAGTCGTGGTTTTGGCATTCTTGATGTTGGGTACCGCTCAAAGGTAACAGCTTTGTCATGAAATGATTGTATTTTGGCTCAACTGTACCTGGATAAATAGCTATAAGCAAGATCTGACTGATTTCTAAAAGGCTGTACAGCTAAATGCTTCTCAAATGTCATCTGTGTCGAAAGATGCATAGGCAAACTTGCATATCTATTCTGATGCATGAACTACCATGCTCCCAATCGTATTATCTTTGTGTACATACGGATTGATGATAGGTATACATCTGCTGGTACAAGATAAATGGTCTGGAACATGCACCGATCCATGCATTATAAGCACATTAAATATCAAAGTCCACCATAGCAGGTCTTACAGATTTAGATAAGTCTTTCATTGCTGTCGGCAGGTTTTGCTGTTAAATGATTCAGTAGCCACACATAAATTATAGCCTTTAAATTGCAGGCTCATATGCAACTTTCTCTTCTTGTGTGCATGAATTCTTATAATCGGGTCACAATTGCACTTTAATGTAAAATATTGAACAAGAATATAAATGTCGATCTTTCATTGCGCAGGATGAGGCTTGGGCGGCAGGTGGAAGTGGGGTTCTCTTGAAAACAACAAATGGTGGCAAGACATGGATTCGTGATAAGGCAGCTGACAACATTGCTGCAAATCTTTACTCAGTGAAGTGAGTTAAATCTTATTCAAAACCTTTTGTTTATCTTCTTTAATTGATTCACTTCTTCAAAAATTTAAAGTTTGTAGATGGTATTTTCTCGTTCTTGTCTGTTTCATTTTTCAGATTCTCAACGCCTCTTTTGGTTACCAAGTTTAAAATGAAATTGAAACTATACACTAATAGTGACAGTCGGTCATATTTCCCCTGTATCAGGTGGAAATAAATTAGCCTAGCTTTAGCTTAGATATTACTGAATAACTGGAAACAATAGAAAGAGTCTACAAAACTATATTTACCTTTGGTTCCTAAGGATTTTACTTTTGTCGGCTAAAATTTTTGGATATATTAACGAGCTATTGATACTGTTAATCATTATGATACAGGTTCATCAACGAACAGAAGGGATTTGTTTTGGGGAATGATGGTGTCTTGCTTCAGTATCTAGGATAAAGTTGAAATTTACACATGGTAATTATCTAAACTCTGGTTTGCTTTACATGATTTATATATCTCCAATTATAAATTTTTTTCTTTCAACGTCTCTACATTGACAGTAACATTAATCAACTCATCGGTATTTCGGCCGATGATAGAAACAACTGAAACTTGTTAGATTTCCAAAAGCTGGTCAAAGTTTTATGTGTTAAAGAATTTATAAGTTTCAACTAAACTGCTGCCAATTTTTTTTCCAGATTTGGTGAAAGCTGACTTTTGATGTTTGCAGGTCTATGAGGATTGCAATTTTGTATAGCTACACCTTCATGCTGTAAAGTGTAAAGAGGGATCCGTGGATGAAATACTTGTATTTGAAATGTAACCATTTCTTTTAAATTACTTCATCCTTGGCAAGAGCCTTTTGTTTCGGTGGATAACTTAAACAATGATTTGTTAACAGTTGCAACTAAGAAAAGAAAAAAGTAATTCAATTTGGTTTGGACAATGATTTCAATTTCATACACTATTGGCTATACTAAGTACTGGTGGATACTCATAACATATATTAGATTTATAACATTTTATGTTATAGGGTTCTCATTTTATAACTCTCAAATAATGTTAGGTCCATAACCTAATCTTACGATCTTCTCCCACAACCCTCGAAGTGACAGCTCGTAATTGGTGAATCTCACTTGTTTATTTGCGAACTAATCAATTACGAATTGCTACGTTGAAGGTTGTGAGAGAAAGTTGTGGACCTAACATTACTATATAACTCTCATCTTCACAGTTTTTATAGTCAATGGTAAATTATATTCTAGATCATGCATATTCTTATCAGTATTTGTATACACCAGAGCCGAAACCTTAATCCCTAAAGATTTCATGTATACAATGAAGTCAGTTTTATGGTTCTTGTGGGAAATAGAAGAGAATTAAGGTATGGGTATTCCCACTTGAGAAAATTGAATTTGTTTCTCATACTTGTAGCAAACGTTAGAACTGCTTAAAGTAGACATCTATTTAAAATTCCCAAGTCATAAAATTAACGATTGCTTATCGTTTGGACTAACCAGATGCTATCAGGTACCAAGTTAATTAAATTAAAATAATGGAAATCTTCTATGATAGTCAACCTACATAGAGATAGCCGATCTACGTGGAGATGAACTTAACTTGGTCAATGTCTTCCTCTTATCCAACAAACACACCTATTAAAACCATTTAAAAAGGACCAGTGAAATTAATTACAAAAGTTCATCAAGTATTCTGATTCCAATGATCCACATAGCGGCAATAGAAGAGCATACTAACTTGAAGTTTTTGATACAATATGGTTGTGATTGTTCTTGCTATTTACAAATAACTAACACATCTTTGAGGTTGAAGGAGTTTCAGGATTTAGAAGAAAAATAAAGAAATGTTTTACAAAGCTTTCATCCTTCTCGGTAAGGAAAGATCACCGAGACGGATTGATCTTATTTATAGTAAATGCCAACGATAGAAGTGACAAAAGCCTTTCACGTGATATACTTGACAAACATGACATGTCTTTGACAAATATACCAAATGATAAAGCACTTTCATGTGATATATTTAACAAACATGATACATCTTTGACAAATATGTCAAAGTTGCATATATTATTGACAAATAAAACAAAAAAACACGTTATTACATCTTGTCCATACTTGGCACACCATTGTTGATTGAAGTGACATGGTATTACAAACGTGACAAACTCTTGTATTCTGACATTAAGATAGAGCATTAGTCATCTACGAAATTTGTTTTGTGTTAGGATTTTCCATCACAAAAGTCAAGACATCCCATCGCTAAGATAAAATCTATCGAGATTTGTGGAATTGGTATGTCTAAGCAATCATTTGTTGAGTGAGCTGATTGTTTAATGATTTGTCTTTTCTTACACTTGTTGAAATAGTATTCACATGCTTGTTGGAATTTGTGTTATTGGAAAGAGTTTGGCTGAGAGCCTAGCTAACATTCCTCCAACGGTTCAAACCTTTGGAAAATGGAAAACAATCTTTCTCCACCAAATTGGCAGATACAAAGGTCATGTTACTCAACAAATAAAGTGGTCCATTATTTTCTTTCATAGACACCATCTCATTTGGAATGATGGTTTACGATATTCTAAGCATCACAAAGATGTTCCACGAGTCTTACATGTATGATTTGGTTAACAATATGTTTTGATCATCCTACATAAGTCAGATCCATCCAAAAATGCATTTTTCAGAACAATCAAATTATTCTAGATGAATTATGACCTTCGTTCTTTGACCATAATACACTCAAAAGTTACTTCAAGCCAGATAGACATGCATTGATTCACTCACGGCTCAATTAGCATCTACACCAGACACTTTCGAATTTCATGATTATCCAGAATTGTGGTATTCAGACTCTCAGTCAGTCTCTTCCCAAAAATACAAACTTCAACAAGCATATAAATATTATTTCTACAAGTGCAAGAAAAGACAAATCATTAAGCAACTAACTGATTTATCAAATGATTACTCAGACATACTGACCCCACAAATCCCGACATTTTATCCAAGCGATGAGATGTCTTGACTTTTATGATGAAGAATCCTGACACAATACAAATTTAGCAGATAACTAATGCTCCACCTCAGTGTCAAGATACAAGAGTTTGTCACGATTGCAATACTATGTCACTTTAGTCGACAACGGTGTGCTACATGTCCTAATTTAGTCAACAATGGTGAGCCATGAAGCCAATAATGGTTTGCCCTAGTTTGGAAAAGATGTAATAACATATTTTTTGTTTTATTTGTCAACAATTGATATACCTTTGACATATTTGTCAAAGATGCATCATGTTTGTCAGATATATCCAATGAAAAGTCTTTATCCCTTGGCATATTTTTTAAAGATATATCATGTTTGTCAAGTGCATCACGTAAAAGGCTTTTATCTTTTCTACCCTTGGCATTTACTTGTAAATAAGACGGAGAGGAAAGCATGAAAGCTTTATAAAAAAAAATGTTTCTTCTAAATCCTTAAACTCCTTCTCCAACCTCAAAGATATGTTAGTTCTATGTAAATAGCAATAATAGTGACAACCATAATGTATTAAAAACATCAAGTTAATATTCTCTTCCATTGCCACTATGTGGATCTTTGGAATCAGAATGCTTGATGAGCTTTTGCAATTAATTTCACTAGTCCTTCTTAGATGATTTTAGTAGGTGTGTTTGTGAGATAAGAGAAAGACCTTGACCAAGATAAGCTCATCTCCATGTAGATCGGCTATCTCCTTGTAGGTCGACTATCATAGTTTCCCACAAGCACAACCTTCTGAGACCATCTTTGGAGGCTTAATATCCCTTTTAGTATTATAACATTGATTTTCCCACTCAATAGGTTATAAAAACGCAGATAACCACCTTAGATAAAATTTTAGATAAAAAAATAAAATAAAATAAAAACACCACTAAAAGGACTGATTTATTCGGTCTGGTGTAGATCAAACTGTTGTGCACTTTCTATGGTTGCTTAGATCCTGAAAGCAGCAACACAGGTCCACAACAGAAGTTAGCTTTCACAAAAGGATGGTCACTTGGCATGATACCATTTCTCACAAATAATAAATAATTATCCCCAAAAGTCATTCTTCTATAATTGTTGCAAACTTGCAATGTCTAAAAATCTGAGGTAGAATTTCTCCTCTGCTTATTCATGGCTCAAGAATTTGCCTAACGATTGCAAAAGAAAGTAACCAAAATCTTGACAACAGTAAAATTTGCCATCCTAACTCATGAATAGAATATCCTGGACCCTAGACTAGCACTTCGCTTCTTTAAACTATAACCGAGTTACCTATCTAGGTAAGCAGATTAACAAATAGAAAAATGAAAGTAAAGTACACTCGTAGTTACCCTTGTATGCAAAATAAGTTAAGACATGAAACTGCCGCAACTGTTGGAAACAACTATCAGGTAGTAGCTTTTACTGATCTTAATTCACTTTGAATACCCAACCTTTGCTGATTTAGCTCCATCTCCTTCGGTCCTCTTCTTCATCCACAGGAGTATACCATGCTGGCCGTCTCTTAGCGTTGCTCAACCTGTAGTTCAAGAGCACTTCTTCCTCACAAAGTGACCTAGTAGCCACCAAAACAAGAGTTCTCAAAACTGGAGAGTCTGAACCATTACTACTCAAACCACCCCATCTGAACCAAAAGCTACCAAATCTCCTCATATTTACTTCATCTGCATTTCCAAATGACACATTTGGAATATAGGCTCTCATGTCTTTTTCAGTCAATGGGAAGTCATAAGGGCAAACCATCACATTTGGGACCATACCCTTTGCCGGATGATTGGCAAAATGAGCCAAAGCCAATGGGTTTCTCCTCTCCAACAACTCAGTTCTACTTCCCCCTTGTGTACTTTTCATAGGCTTACTGAGCAGTTTCCACATCCGGTCTGAACCTTTTTCGGTCCCTTCCATAGTTGATCTAATTTCAGGAAGTGTCAAGCCATCCCACAAGTCACGGGTTTCACCCCCAGCACCCCAAGGTTGGGCATTGATCACAGTTCCGTCATACCTAGTGATCAAATAGGGGTTTTGTGCATCAACTCTTGGGTATCCAGGAATATATCGGTAATAAGCAGGAGAGTATATTACACCAGGATATATGGCTATTACAGTACCAACATCAGCCACACCAGATAAAAATAAACCTTGGCCAGCTTCCTTGTGGGGTATCAGGGATGGTTTGAGATGAAGTGTGTAGCCAATGATATCCTCTAATCTCCTTGATACTTCAGCGCGTCTTAATGGCCTTGTCTCAGGTACAACTGTGCTGAAAAATCATCAGTAATCAGAATTTGAAGGAGAATAGTCCAGTAACAATTAACTGATTCTGTTTCTGTACTAATTGCATGAGTTGAAAAATTCAACGTTATTTGACGAAAAAATTATTTGACATTGAAGCTCAATCGCTATTAGAGCCCAAATCATCTTTAGATGTTGCTGGTACATTATATCATTGACATGGTAGACAGAAAGTGTGATATGACATATATCATAGTGCAGACATCATTCTCAACCCAAGCAACGAAATCAATTCTCTGAAGAGCAAAACTAAAATTACTAAAGTCCCACCAAAATGATAAAAAATTTTCGAACTAAAAGGAATCGTTGAGGCCCTATTGTTGATTACCTTCAGCTACAAGCATTTACCATCTTCTTTACCCATTCACAGACCAAAACTGCAAGTCATCAATTTTCAGTGGCTTTAAGGACCAATTAATCAGACATTCTGCACCCCTGTTAATTAAATGTAAAAACTTCCAAACAAAAAAGGTTAAAATCCTACCAGAAGGGAACTTCTATTCAGTCTCACAAACAAAAAGGTTTCAAAGAACTTTTAGTTCCAAAAATCTTTTAATCATGGTTTCCTAAAAATGAATTCTTTTGCGCTTTCCCATGTCTCCCTAGCCAAGTCTTCAACTTGTTCATCTCTGAAAACTGCTCCTCTTTCATTCTATATAACATAATTGATCTTTACCAAAATCTCTGTGGTCATACAGACACTAAATTATTATTCCAAATTATTAGTTATAAATTTCAGGAATCAAGTTAACTTATTACGCATTTACTAAGATAATCAAGCAATTTATTTTAGGGTTTTGTACTTGGTGACGAATATAGCACAATTTAGAAGCTCAAAATTAAAAGATTAAACATAAAATCCGAAAAAGAACCACATCTGATAAGTGATAAAATATATGAAAAACTCACCAGGATAGTCAGCAGGTGAGCCACTCTTGCCAACAGCAAAACTGAGGCCACTTCTGCGGGCTGTAGAATTTGATTGTTTAGATGACTCAACTGTCTCACTTTCCTTCGACGTATCGGGAAGAAGAATTTGATTCATAGAAATGCAGAACTTTTCAATTTGAGAATGGATGTTTTCTTGTACTTGTTTTTGTTGATCAGCAAGAGAGGCTTTACTAGCCATGTTAATAATGTCCTCAGCATCTGTCTCATCAGCGTCCCTTCCCAAACGATTATAGCTGAACAATATTACAGTTTTCATGACTAGTAATATCATACAAATACATTTAAAAACGAATTTAAAATTGAATGATTAACTCCTCCTTACAAATCAATTCAAATAATTTTTATGCACATGATAAATTGATAGTAACACAAACCTAGTATATAAAAAGAGACGATTCATGTCGGCTTCAAATTGAAGCTTCCTTGGATCCCTAGCAAATGTTGGACTTTTTGCAAGAATTTTCACACCCTGGAATCAGACGAATACAAAGAATAAAACTTACTCATCGTCAGTCCAAGTTTAAAGAGATCGAAAATGGATAAAATCAAGAACATTTATATACATATATATACCTCTTGAAATTTTCGAAATAGAAAAGCCATTGTTGAAGCTGCAGCTGAAAAAAAACACACTACTCTCGAGCTGCTCTGTTTGCTGTGTTGGCTGCCTGCTCTCGTTCTAATTAGGTGCTTTAAAGTGCTTGGGACTTGGGAGATGATGACTAAGTTGGTTTGGTACCATAGGATTCAAGCCCAACATAATTAGTCGGGCCTACTGTATGGACTAGGACGACCCATTCTACATTATAAACCTAATGGGTTTACACGCGAAATCAATAAGTGAAAATTATAAACGAGTAAAAAGTCAAAAATACATTTACTAATAGGTATACAAGTAGTTTCATAACAAGTAAATGCAAACCACCATTGTGTGGCATAATGGTAAAAGAACAAAGGAGGATTTAACATGACTTTCCAAGTTTAAGTCATTTTGATCGTAAAAGAGCAAGATTAGGATCTAATATGGTCTCCTTGAAAGTTCGATCTAACATGGTCTTCCTGGGAGTTCGAGTCCCCACCACCTCTAATAGGAGTGACCACTGAATTTCTTACCCAGTCAATAATTTCAGGGTCTTGGGGGATTAGTTGAAGTACACGCAAGCTGGTTCAGACACATCGGTCATTACAACTCCTTGGGAGTTCGAGTCCCCACAACCCCTAATAGGAGTGCCACTGAGCTCTTACTCGGTCGGTAGTTCCAAGGTCCTAAGAGATTAGTTGATGCACGCAAGCTCCTAGCCACCCTCGATCATCACAAAAAAAAAAAAAAAAAAAAAAAAGGTAATCACAAACACCCTGAGAGTTCCGAGTCCCCGTGGCCCCTAATAGGGGTGGCTACTGGAGCTATTACTCAGCCGATAATTCTAAAGTCTTAGTAGATTAGTTAAGGTAGACCCAAATTAAAATAGAAACCTAGTCATAACAATAAATAATAAAAAAAAGTAACTTAAAGCAGACTTTAGTAATTTTATTGAATAAACCATTAGAATAATTTTGGAATGGATGGTATTGGGCCAACTATTGGTAGAACAATAGGAAGAAATGGTCTAATTTGTTTGGAAAGAAGAACACCTAGAACATAATTGGCACCTCTATCTTCAACATCCCATATACAAACTCATCTTTTGAATATAAAACATCCAAATTGATTTTTGATATATACTTTTTAATTAAAGTTGAGCTGTATATAGAATGTAAATAATGTATGGTTGGCCATGCATGGGGAGCAGCTGCATGTGACAATCTATGTATTGTGTTTTGTGGATGTGGAAGCATAATAAGCATATATTTTGATAAGGCTGCACATTTTTCGAAAGACTGTTAGCTGCCATATCAATGTCACAAAAATGACATTGCACTAGTTAGAATTGAAGTGGTCTCGTCCTTTTTCAACCATGATAGACACCAAAAATTAAACTATATAGTATAATGATAATGATAATAATTTTTATTCTTCAGAAATCGTTTCCAAATAACTTAACACAAATACATAGAGTAATTAGAAACGGGAAGATGGCAAGGTGGTGGCATTGAGAAAATGGAGGAAGAGAGAAAGTGACTGATCAGGCGCGAATAACGGGACTTGGTGGCCTGCGCCCCGCACGGTGGCCAAAGTCAGCCCCTTCTCATACGTCTCCACCCATCCAGCTACTTCTTTCTTGTGAAACCATGCCCTCCATTCTTCCTCTATTTTTAATCCCATTTTGTTTATGCTCAGTCTTGTAGATGTTACCGGCACCCTTCCATCCGTATCACCACTGCATTCATATATATTATTTATTAAATTTTATATAATTATATTCAATATACATATATGTGTATGTGCGTGTGGGGACATAAATTTTTATACCTGTAGATCCAGATGCGCATTCCGGAATCTAAGAGCTTCTCAATGACGGGCAACACACTATCGGGAGAGTCATTCCAGCTCCTAATAACGTCACTATATAAACATGTTGCAACACAATTACAAATTAATTATATAATAAGGTTATGATATATATTCTGTGATATTTTAATTGCTTAATTTGACAGAGTTTTATGTTAAACTACTGATCTAATCATACATGCAACATGTACATGTACATGAACATGATGACATACTCGTATATATATATACAAGGAGCTGTGGAAAATGGGAATGAAAACTTGGAGAGTGGTGGATGGGTAGAAAAAGTTAGTGAAAATGAGAGATCAAGAATCTCACTGACATGTTTCATTAAATTTTCTATGACAGGAAAACAGAAAGAAAGATTTACTTCATTCATTCCTTTATTAACACATGCTTTTGAATTAAGTTTCTTCTTTGTCTACTCATTTCTTTTCTACATTCTCTATACTTACGTACATACTGTATGCACAGCAATATATATATATACAAGTACCCCTATTTATTACGATAATGCAGGCAATATATGCAAATGTGTGTGTATATATATGTATATGTATATGCAATTAATTTTCAGTATTTCTTTTAGAAATTAATGAATGTACCTGCATAAGGTGTATGGATAGGGCATTTTGGTGATATTGGCATGCAGAGCCTTTTGAACGTCTTCTCTATTGAAATATCGCTCTGTATAGTCTTCTGTACATGGATCGTAACCTAATGGCAACCTAAGCCATAAGTCCTGTAACATAAAAACAAAATTTCATTGCCGTATTAATAAGACATTCATCCTATAGTACGTTTATGGTTGTATGCCATTAATTTACTTCTTAAAAACCCCTCGTCATTTACTATCAGATATATTTAAGAGAGAATATCCCCCACCCATGAGTTTTTACTTACATGTCTGGAGAGGAGAAAAGGAGAATTGGTGAGTTTTGCAGAAGTTTTGTGAGCATAATTGAGGCAAAGTGGGGAATAGATGCTGTATATATCAATTTCTGAATAAGCACTCATGAAGCGTCTGATAAGAATGATGCATTGGGTGCTTATATTAGTCTGCTTAAAATCTGCACATTCCTTCCTTATGTTTTTGTACAGATTGTCTGATATGATTGCGTGAGTCCAAGCATATTCCACAAATCCAAGAGTGTCCGTTTCATCATTTATTGCAGCATTTCCAATCTGGATAAATCACAAAACCCCACTTATTTTTCTTATAGTAAAATAAAAATAACCTATCTATAATAATGTATAAATATACTAACCATGAATCCTTTTAGATTTATAAACGACTCTTTGCTAGCTCCTTTATTTCTTTCATAAATTAGCTCAGCAAGTTGAGGAACATAGTGACCTGAAAAAAATGAAGATTTGAAATGCATAAAATTGAAACAATAAATAATAATAAAAACATGAATTTGGAATGGGAATGGGAATGGGAATGAAGAGGTACCAGCGTAGCTCTCTCCGGCTATATAAAAATCCAGGGATTTGAAGCTTGGAAACTTTTTGAACCATTCAAGTAAGAATGCATGAGAATCATTGGCTGTCACTTGATCACCAAGCTTATATAAATCTTCTGAATTGTTGGTGTACGAAAATCCTACACCCACGGGTGCCTCCAGGAACAACATATTTGCAGCTAATTACAGAATTAAAGAAGATTAGAAAGTGGAATTATTGGACACATAATTCATTAATTAAATTTGTTACCTTTGTTCCAAGAGTATTTGTTAAGAGTGAGTTCGGTGCTGTTGCTTCGAACTAGAAATGGTCCAAGTTCTTGTGCAGCTCCGTATGCCACAGATGAGCAGCCAGGTCCTGTAATAAAATAAGATTAAATTTAAGCTAATTTGGTTTTGTCAACTCAGTCAACACCCACAGATGCAGTGTGGGTGTTGACTGACTGGAAAGATTGAAAGTAAAGAGATCAGAGAGTGATGACCTCCATTGAGCCAAAGAACGAGGGGCTTTTGAGAAGGTTCATCTTGGGCTTCAAAGAACCAGTAGAACAATGCCTTTTGACCCTCTGGTCGGAGTTTCACATAACCAGAGTAGTGTTGAAACTGGACATGGGGTTGTCCAGGCAAGTTCGTCACTCTATCAGCCGCCACCGATGGTTGACTTTCTTGTTTAGAAGCCATGGTAGAATAAGCCACCAGACCCCATACAATTAGAATGCAAAGTACCCGCTTCCTTATCACATCATCATTTAATTCCATTATAGATTAATCACCGGATAACTGAAGAGTAAATTTTTTAAAACAGAATTGGTGAGACAAAGTAGATGGACCTTCACTTATATAGAGGGTCGACAGTGGGGAAAATTGTTTGGTTGATTTTTCTAACATATAATCTTCCCAATTACATGGGTATCCATATTCTAGTACAATAATAGGATTGATTTCTTCAATAGTTTAATGAGGGTGATCATATATGGCGTCCAGATAGAGATATTTTTTAGAGTAAACAACATTTTCCCACCCAGGGTTTGGCGTAACTACATTTCCCACCCCTGGTTTCATAAATTCTAGATTCTCACCCTTAAATTAATACCGTTACTTTTCTCTCAAAATATCCCCATATCTCAAATTTCTCTCAAATAACCCCTAAGGAGATCCCGGCCCAAAAATCCAGCCTGATTCTGGCACCATCGAACCTCCCCGACACCACCATTAGCATCCCCTTATCTCCTCACCAAAACCCCAAACTTTTTCACCCATTACACCTCCCGAGGTGCTAGATTTGGCTAGAAGGCGTCCAAATACGAAAACCAAAGGGAGAGGCAGTGGAGATCGATGACCAATTGTGATCGACGATGTTTGGGGTTTTGGTGGGAGGTTGATGATGCATTGGTGGTGGTTTTCTGTGCAAGACCTGTCGAAATTTAGATAAAACACGACGACTGAAACAATAGCGACGGCCAGTGATTGAGGGTTTAATCAGGTGGGGAGGTTAGAGTTTTGATGTGGGGTTGAGGGATTATAATGGTAATGTCAGAGGGTCGACTATGCCGAACAAGGCCAGAATGCTTGAAACCGCCAATGGGGTGAATTTGAAAAGTGAAAGGTTATTTTAAAATTTTCATCTTTAAATGATTATTTACCTTTTGATTGTTAGATTACACGTTTTCTTATTTAAGGATTGAAATATAAAATTTATGAAACTAGGAATGAAACTTAGAGATTTGCCAAACCTTGGTTGGAAAATGCCGTTATGAAAAAAGAATAAAATTATTGTAATTTGTAAGGTAATTATCACGAAGTTGCATGTGAGGAAAGGTTTCCACTTTTTTTATTTTTGTATTTTATGCTTTTAATGAAAAGCTGGCATTTGGTGGGCTGCAGCTCGTGATTTATACAAAGCAATATATTAATGTAGCTCATTCTTTGTCTTTACCCACATCATCCATTATTAACAAAAACACACATGAAAACATGGGTTTTGTAAAACTACTCTTGTAATTAAACTTGTTATGATAAATTAGTTGTTATAAATCATTTAAATCACTTACCCACCCACTTTCATATTTAAACTATGCCACGCCCCCATCTTCCCTTCACTATATACATATATAACACCAAGTTATATCAGATGGGATTACGACTATTCCAATTACAGAGCCGATTGGGTTGTGGATCCTATATAAACAGTTATAACAAAGTTTTTATTTGATGCTTTATCCACTTATCACAAAGTTCTCAACAAACAAGCAAGTATGATTTGATTCATATCATAATTTTGATTCTTATTTATTATAGTATCACACTCTTCAATACCTTGTTCCTTAATTATGTGCTGGCCCAAGTAATTCTTTATATGATAATTTCATCTTCAATAATATTTTTATTGCAATTGGGTCATACAACAAATAAAAATTACCAAAATTTATATAAAATGACTGTTTTCTTGTTTTTTCTGTTTGTATATGTTCAATCGTAATATACATTGTTCTTTCATCATAGTAATTATATATGTAAAAAACAACAAAATATGTCTAATCTTTTTTCTATTGAATGTGTTCTTGAAACCCTTATAATCTATCTAATACCAACTCTCGAAATCTAAAATTAATGACAATAACCTTCAATGGCTATCCTTAACAACTAAAGAAAATCGTATTAGGACTCTCGGTTAATTGCCAACAATTTCGCGGACTGTGTTATCAATAACGACCCACATCTATCAACAGCGGCTGGTCACAGTCACACCATTCAGAACCTGTTGACATGTGGAAAACACTTAGACCTATGGGTGCTGTGTCTATTTCTGTCTATTGGTGCAGAGTTGTGCAACAATCGCCCAACCAAATGACAAGAAGAATTTAATGGTCCCGCTTCTCATTTAGTGCGAACAACAATGCCGCAAAACAAAGATTTATGAAGTACCATAACATAACTTTAAAGCTTGGACGGACCGAATACAAAAAACTCTGTCAAAGGCCCAAAACTTTTGACAGCAAACAGTCACTGGGCTAAGCCTGAAAGTGGTGATACACTGATTTGAAGTCCCACTTAATCTCTATTTAAGTTTTAGTAATAGTTTTTTTTTTTCTTCTTATTAATATTCTTTAAGATAATATATGTGATTAAATGATTGTATGATGCTAAATTAAAAATTTAAATAATTAAAGAATTACATGTCAAACATGCAAGGTTGCCACATCAATCTGTAACTTTATATAGATAGTTTGTTGAAAACCATTATTTTTAAACCCTAAACCATATATGTTTGAGATTGTGTTTTGAAGATAAAAGTATTCCAAAGTGTGGAAGGTAATTTCAATCAATGAAAACAAATCATGAAGAATTAATTTTGATTTTTCTTTTGTTCATCTTTTTTTTTTTTTTAAGAGAATCATGAAATAGCTTGATACCAAACAAGGTTTTGAAGAGGAATGTCGTTGAGTGAATGCATTTAGATTTAAATTGGAATTAAAATGGTGGCTGAAATTTAATTCAAAAGAAAAGAATTAGATGGTAAGGTTAACAAGAGAGTTTAAGAAGAAATTTAGAAAGGGTGATCTTAGAATAAAAATAATATCTTTGTAATTATATTGGGGCATAGAAAGAGATTGAGTGAGGGAAAAATTTTATTATTTATTAATTTTGAGAATTTAGAAATAATATATTTAAGGGGTTTGTTAAAATAATATATTTAAGGGTTTGTTAAAGATATTAATCATTAATTAGATGATGATATGAGTTTAGTTGGTGGAAATAATTTGGTTTGAGAAATTAAAAAAAAATGGTGCACCATTATTATTAAATGTTAGCTAACTTCTCTCATAAGGACTTGGTTTGTGGTACTTTTAGATTCAATAATGTCACTAAGTTATTTCTCATTTCATTCATGCTTATTAGGACAGAAAATAATTTCTCTTTGTTTAACCTTATACATATAAACTCATATATTTACTTAATATTGTCTTTCTATTTTTCCTTTGACTCATTACAACATTAGCAGAGACCTGTTTTTTTTTTTTAATCACCGAGGGTGTCTAGGTCAGCTTGCGTTTACTTCAATTAATCTATCGGGATTCTGAAACTACCGGTTGGATAAGAGTCCTAGTAATCATCTCTGTTAGTGTCTGAAGAGATTCGAAGTAAAAAACTTATAGAATCTCTTTTTACTTTTTTATTATCAAACCATCCCGTAGTTGTTAGTAGAGACCATTTTCGGTGTTGATCAAGTCTATAAGGTGAGAATAGAAGAGATAGGCGTGCCTTTATTATTAGTGAAAAACTTTATACAATGCTTACAAATAAATTTTCTCATCATTTTGAATAATATTTTTCATTTTTTTACAAGGGGTTTTAGCCTTTAAGAAAAAAATGTCATTGGAAATTTACAATTAAGATAAATTTTTTTTATAACGGCTTCTGACAATCGTTTGTCATCGAAAACTAACATTTTCGATGAGTTTTAACCCTTGGAAATAGGCACCTATTGGGATGTGGGGGAATGGTTTGAAAAAAATTGGGTAAAAAGCTCGGGGAAAAATGGGTATGGACCGTTGGAACGATCTAGAACGATTGACCCGATGGGTAAATTCTCTGAAATTAAACACAAGTTGACAGCGTGGATTATTGCCACATGGCAGAGATAGCTGTTTCCTGTTGGTGACCATACCAATACCACCTATCAATTTGTAGTTCTATGTGCTCAAATCGTTTCCTTAAATTAAACGAATCACATAAACTTAAGCAAATAAAACGGTGGAAATAGCTGCAACTTAGGTTATCCGTCGCCACCCACTTTCATATTTCATTTCAATAACATATTCTACTTTAACACTCAAAATACCTTACATAGCCGCAACTCCAAATCCTCTCTATTTTCCCACGCCAAACATTCCCAAAATCCAGAAAGTTGAAACCCCTAAATCAAGAAAAAAAAGGTGTACTATGATTTCAGTTACACTCACATCAAAGTGGCTGCCCACACATTTCTGCTCACCAAATCGAACCAATTGAACCAAAACACTCACGTCAAGAAACATTTACCTTTTATAACTCACTTCATCCTCTTCCACCACTAATTAACTCATCGTACAATGCACTACAATCACATTTCCTATCAACCCGATACCATGATCCCCTCTACCACCTCCGCTAATCTCACTTCTCTTTCCTCCTCCTCCACTCAGAATCTCGCTGGGAACTTTCTTTCCCGGCGTTTCTTCTTTCTGCATGATATTCAAATCTTGGAGCTTTTTCTTGCTTTATTTGTGTTCGTTTCTATACATTCTTTGAGGCAGAAGAAACGTTATGGCCTGCCCGTCTGGCCGTTTCTTGGAATGTTACCGTCTTTGGTTTCCGGGCTTCAGGGGAATATGTATGAGTGGCTTACCGATGTGATTTGTAGTCAAAATGGTACCTTTAGATTCAGAGGTCCATGGTTTAGCAGTCTGAATTGTGTGGTGACTGCGGATCCTCGGAACCTTGAGTATCTTCTCAAGACGAGGTTCTCTAATTTCCCTAAAGGCAGTTTCTTTCGTGACACGGTTCGTGATCTTCTGGGAGATGGGATTTTCAGCGCCGACGATGAGACGTGGCAACGACAAAGGAAGACGGCAAGCATTGAGTTCCACTCAGCGAAGTTCCGGCAACTCACTACTGAGTCATTGCTTGAACTCGTCCACTCTAGACTGTTACCAGTCCTTGAAAATTCAGTCAACAGTTTAGTTTCCATTGATCTGCAAGACATCCTATTGAGGCTAACTTTCGATAACGTTTGCATGATTGCATTTGGAGTCGACCCCGGGTTTTTGCGTCCGGGTTTGCCTGAAATTCCATTTGCGAAAGCCTTCGAGGACGCGACTGAGGCCACAGTGTTCCGTTTTGTCACACCGACTTGCATATGGAAAATCATGAGATATCTTGATTTGGGGACTGAAAGGAAGCTCAAACAATCCATAAAAGGTGTTGATGAGTTTGCGGAGGAAGTTATCAGGAGGCGGAAGAAGGAACTCTCATTGTCAAGTGATAAAAACACGCAAAGATCAGATATTTTATCAATATTTATGGGTCTGAAAAACGAACATGGGCAGCCGTATTCGGACAAGTTTTTGCGTGATATTTGCGTGAATTTTATTCTTGCAGGAAGAGATACATCTTCTGTAGCGTTAAGCTGGTTTTTCTGGTTACTTGAGCAGAATCCGAGGGTTGAGGAGAAAATTCTTGCAGAGATATGCAGGATAGTTGGTGAAAGAGAAGAAGCGAAAAGGAAAGAGTCGCCTCTGGTGTTTAAGCCGGAGGAGATAAAGAAGATGGATTATTTGCACGCTGCATTATCGGAGGCTTTAAGGCTCTATCCTTCGGTTCCTGTAGATCACAAGGAGGTAAATTGCTACATCAATGCTTTATTTATGCATATATTAATTTTAATCTGAATTTTCTACAATTAATATTTCTGGATAATATAACTCGAATCAGTTTTTCTATTTAATGAAATTTTGTCATGTAGATTGTTGTTTTGTTACTGTTTTGATACATGAAACCACATGCTGGCTGTGGACTTTCTTTTGACGTGCAGTGGTCTAATTTGTAGTTGTAGAGAGGTCAGCAATATTTACAAATTATAGGGAAAAGGTTAGGGGGAGTTAAATTTGGCCAATTTCTTGTTTACCTAACCCAAATGTTCTTGGTTAGAAAATTACAAATAAACTAATTCAACGTTATCGTTCTACCCACTTCGCATTATCCTTAAAAAACATAATAATAATAATAGTTTATCTTGACCAGTTTATGGTAATTAATGTTCAGGTTGTTGAAGATGACATATTTCCAGATGGAACAGTGGTAAAGAGAGGAACAAAAGTGATATATGCCATTTACGCCATGGGAAGAATGGAAGCCATATGGGGAAAAGACTGCAGAGAATTCAAGCCAGAGAGATGGCTGAGAGACGGGCGTTTCATGAGTGAATCAGCCTACAAGTTCACAGCTTTCAACGGCGGCCCTCGACTGTGTTTAGGCAAAGATTTTGCGTATTATCAAATGAAATTTGCTGCAGCGTCGATTATTTATCGATATAGTGTGAAGGTGGCGAAAAATCATCCGGTGGTGCCGAAACTTGCTCTGACAATGTACATGAAGCACGGATTGAAAGTAAATCTATACAAACGTCAGGAGTTGGAGCTTCAAAAGTACTACAGCAATAACAATCCATGAATGAAGGCTGAGCCTGAGCTTGTATGAATAAAAAAATATGGTTTTATTATTTCTTAATTTTTTAAGAAAATTAATATTGGTATTGCGCTACATCTACAAATATATAGGATTGATCGATACAAAACAGATGTATGATTGTATTAAATTATGTTTGAATAATGGAGTGGATTGTTCATGATTAAGGTAGGTGAGCTTTTCTGTGATTTTGAAGTTGAATAATAAGTCAATTGATTCAAAGAGCTAAAATAACAAGTCATGCAATATGCAAATTGTAAGTGATGATATTTCCACATCGATCATTGGTCTTTTACTTCTAAAAAGTTGGTATTATATTGTCCAGTCCGTGATAGAACCCAAATTAGTTGGAATAATTATATATTGTTGAAATGTTGAAATGTTGGCATATCAGGCGCCCAAGGACCAGGTCAAAATTAGTTGGAATAATTACACATTACAGTAGACTTTGTCATCAATCTGCTCATATGATTTTGCTTGATTTTAACTATAATAATTATATGATTTTCAGCTGTCATAGCCCTTAATCTTTGCATCTAATTTGTTATCTCAAACATGTATAAATAGTTTGCTATAGACGAAGGAAATAAGAACAGTTTTTCAGCTTCAATTCATTTGCTTCACATTATATATATTAGCTTTACCTTGTCTACATTTAATCCATAAACACTCTTAACATTAGCAAAGCAAAGTTAACAACCTTGAAATTACAACAAATGCCCAACACGAAACATGTATTTTCGTTCTAAAATAGATATTCCTCATCACAACATATAACACAAAGCATAAGCATATTTATGTTTAGGAAAGAGCTATTCCTCTTCACCACTCGTCACAACACATAACATATAACAAAAACAACATTACTTCGATAATTCAAAGTTGATGAACTTACATATAGCTCTCTTGCTTGTTCATTAACCCACCATTTATCAAAGCTTAAACGATCTTATAAATAATTGTATAGGATCGAAAGATTCCTCAATTTGCTTAGCCTCAATAGTTTATAATGCCATTGACCATGAACAGAGTAACGCAAACTTTACAGAGTAAAGGTTTTGGTAAAGATGTATATTCTGTTATTAAGTAAAGTAACAACTGCTGTATATATACAAGGAACTGTAGCTAACTAAAAACGTGACTAATCTACATATTTTTTAATTACTTTTAGACCCCATAAGGTTATTAATTTCACTAAATGCCCCCTGATTTTTTTTAAAAAAATTAAAAAAAAACCCCCCATTACCCAACTTGTCAGATTCCGGCAACCATCGCGGTGATAGCCGGAATCTGTACAACGGCCTAAATTCCGACCATAAATGGCTGGAATTACATCGATCTGGCGGAAAAGGCCAGATCGATGTAATTCCGGCCATTTATGGTAAAGGCCAGATTGGCGCGCAGCGACGGGCCAAAGAAATGGCTGTCGTTGACCGAAAACGACAGCCACATTTGGCCGTCACTGACGGCCAAAGATGGCCGTCGTTTTGGCCTTTTCGGCTGTCGATGGCCATAAGGGCCGTAGATCTGGCCTTTTTCGGCCAGACCGTGGTGGATCTGGCCGGAAAAGGCCATAATGATGCGTTACGGACAGATCCGATCGGTCTGTGGTAACGAAATTTTCGACCAGATTCCGACGGTGGCGGCGGAATCTGACACTGCAGGTGGTGGGGGTTTTTCATTTTATATAGTAGGGTCTTTAATTAAATTAGTAAACCTAAAGGCTTTTTCATAAATTTTTTAAATTACCTCGTAATACTTTCCTATCCAACAATCCAATACTTCCTCAAAATTCTATTAAAAACTACAAACATATCCCATAAATTTTAAGAGTTAGATTTGTATCTTTATATGCTTCTTTTTATACCTTTTTTAAGGCCAGTATTACTATATCAATAATGATCCATATCTATCAACAGCGCTGGTCAACACCATTCAGAACCTGTTGACACTGTGGAAAACATCTTAGACCTATGGGTGCTGTGTCTATTTTCTGCTTGGTGCAGGGTTGTGCAACAATCGCCAACCAAAGACAAGAGAAAATATGCACTCCCGCCTCTATTTAGTACGAACAACAATGCCGTGAAACAAAAGATAAAGTACAAACATAACTTTAAACCTTGGAGGCGACGAATACAAAAAACTCTGTCAAAGGCCCAAAACTTTTTTGACCGCAAACAGTCGCCTGGGTAAGCCTGAAAGTGCTGATATCGAAGTCCCACTTAATCTCTTTTTAAGTTTAATAATAGTTTTTTTTCTTCTTAAATTAAATATTCTTTAAAGATAATATATGTGATTTAAAATGATTGTATGATGCTAAATTAAAATAAATTAAATAATAAAGAAAATTACATTTCAAACATGCAAGATTGCCACATCAATCTGTAATTGTTAAATGTTTGTTGGAAAGATCATTATTTTTAAAACCCTAAACCCTTTTATATGTTTGAGATGTGTTTTTGAAGATAAAAAGTATTCCAAAGTGATGGAAGATAATTTCAATCAATGAAAACAACAATCATGAAGAATTAAGTTTTGATTTATTTTTTTCTTAAGAAAATCATTAAATAGCTTGACACCAACAAGGTTTTGAAAAGGGAATATGCCGTTGAGTGAATGCATTTAGATTTAAATTGGAATTAAAATGGTGGCTGAAATTTAATTCAAAAGAAAAGAAAAATTAGATGGTAAGGTTAACAAAGAGATTTAAGAAGAAATATTAGAAAGGGGTGATCTTAGAATAAAAATAATATCTTTGTAAATTATATGGGCTTAGAAAGAGATTGAGTGAGAAACACTTTATTATTTGTTAATTTTTTGATGAATTTAGAAATAATATTTAAGGGTTTGTTAAAAAAATATATTTAAGGGGTTTGTAAAAATAAATATTTAAGGGGTTTGTTAAAGATACTGCATTATTTAGATACGATGGTACGAAGTTTAGTTGGTGGAAATAATTTGGTTTGAAAATTAAAAGAAAATGGTGCACCATTATATTAAATGTTAGCTAACTTCTCTCATAAGGACTTGGTTTGTGGTAGCTTTAAGATTCAATAATTTCACTAAGTTATTTCATTTCATTCATGCTTATTAGGACAGAAAAGAATTTCTCTTTGTTTAACCTTATACACAAAACTCATAATAATGTCTTTCTCCCTTTTCCTTTGACTCATTACAACATTAGCAGAGATCATTATTTTTTTTTTTTAATCATCGAGGGTGTCAGATTAGCTTGCGTTCACCTCAATCTCTTAGGATTCTGGAACTATCGTGATTGAATAAACCCTAATGTCATTGGAAATTTACAATTAAGATAAAAAAAAAATATATATAACGGCTTCTGACAATCGTTTGTCATCGAAAACTACATTTTCGTGAGTTTTAACCCTTGGAAATAGGCACCTATGGAGTGGTTTGAAAAAAATTGGGTAAAAAGTCGGGGAAAAATGGGTATGGACCGTTGGAACGATCTAGAACGATGGGTAAATTCTGAAATTAAACACAAGTTGACAGGTGGATTATTGCCACATGGCAGAGATAGCTGTTTCCTGTTGGTGAATACCAATACCACATCAATTTGTAGTTCTATGTGCTAAAATGGCTTCCTTAAATTAAACGAATCACATAAACTTAAGCAAATAAAACGGTGAAATAGCTGCAACTTAGGTTATCGTCGCCAACACTTTCATATTTCATTTCATAACCTATTCTATTTAACACTCAAAATACTACATAGCCGCAACTCCAAATCCTCTCTATTTTCCACGCCAAACTTCCCAAAATCCAGAAAGTTGAAACCCCTAAATCAAGAAAAAAAAGGTTGTACTATGATTTCAGTTACACTCACATCAAAGTGGCTGCCCACACATTTCTGCTCACCAAATCGAACCAATTGACCAAAACACTCACGTCAAGAAACATTTACCATTTATAACTCACTATCACTCTTCCACCACTAATAGCTCATCGTACAATGCACTACAATCACATTTCCTATCAACCCGATACCATGATCCCTCACCACCTCCGCTAATCTCACTTCTCTTCCTCCTCCTCCACTCAGAATCTCGCTGGGAATTTCTTTCCCGGCGTTTCTTCTTTCTGCATGATATTCAAATCTTGGAGCTTTTCTTGCTTTATTTGTGTTCGTTTCTATACATTCTTTGAGGCAGAAGAAAAGTTATGGCCTGCCCGTCTGGCCGTTTCTTGGAAGTTACCGTCTTTGGTTTCCGGGCTTCAGGGGAATATGTACGAGTGGCTTACCGATGTGATTTGTAGTCAAAATGGTACATTTAGATTCAGAGGTCCATGGTTTAGCAGTCTGAAGTGTGGGTGACGCGGATCTCGGAACCTTGAGTATCTTCTCAAGACGAGGTTCTCTAATTTCCCTAAAGGCAGTTTCTTTCGTGACACGGTTCGTGATCTTTGGGAGATGGGATTTCAGCGCCGACGATGAGACGTGGCAACGACAAAGGAAGACGGCAAGCATTGAGTTCCACTCAGCGAGTTCCGGCAAATCATACTGAGTCATGCTTGAATCGTCCACTCTAGACTGTTACCAGTCCTTGAAAATTCAGTCAACAGTTTAGTTTCCATTGATTGCAAGACATCCTATGAGGCTAACTTTCGATAACGTTTGCATGATTGCATTTGGGTCGACCCGGGTTTTTGCGTCCGGGATTACCTGAAATTCCATTTGCGAAAGCCTTCGAGGACGCGACTGAGCCACCTGTTAGCGATGGTTGACTTTCTTGTTTAGAAGCCATGGTAGAATAAGCCACCAGACCCCATACAATTAGAATGCAAAGTACCCGCTTCCTTATCACATCATCATTTAATTCCATTATAGATTAAGCTCGCGATACTGAAGAAATAAATTTTTAAAACAGAATTGGTGAAGACAAAGTAGATGAGACCTTCACTTATATAAGAGGGTCGACAGTGGGGAAAATTGTTTGGTTTAATTTTTCTAACATATAATCTTTCCAATTACATGGGGTATCCATATTCTAGTACAATTATAGAATTGAAATTTCTTCAAATAGTTTAATGAGGGTGATCATATATAGGCGTCCAGATAGATGATATTTTTTAGAGTAAACAACATTTTCCCACCCAAGGTTTGGCGAATCTACAAGTTCCCACCCCTGGTTTCATAAAATTCTAGATTCTCACCCTTAAATTAACACCGTTACTTTTCTCTTAAATATCCCCCATATCTCAAATTTCTCTCAAATAACCCCTAGAGGAGATCCCGGCCAAAAATCCAGCCTGATTCTGGCACCATCGAACCTCCCCGACACCACCATTAGCATCCCCTTATCCTCCTCACCAAAACCCCAAACTTTTTCACCCAATTACACCTCGCCGAGGTGCTAGAATTTGGCTAGAAAGGCGCTACAAAACGCGAAAACCAAAGGGAGAGGCGATGGAGATCGACGACCAATTATGATCGACGATGTTGGGGGTTTTGGTGGGAGGAAGTCAATGATGCTATTGGTGGTGTTAGGGGTAGTTTCCAATGCCAGGACCTGCCGAAATTTGGATGAAATGCCGACTGAAACTCAGAGCGACGGCCGATGATTGAGGGTTCAATCAGGTGGGGAGGTTAGAGGTTTTGATGTAGGGGTTGAGGGGATTGTAATGGTGATGTCAGGAGGGGTCGACTATGCTGGGAACAAGCCAGAATGGCTTGAAACCGCCAATGGGGTGAATTTGAAAAGTAAAGAGTTATTTTAAAATTTTCATCTTTAAAATGATCATTTTACCCTTTTAATTGTTAGATTACACAATTTTCTATTAATGTAAGGATGAGATTATGAAATTTATAAAACCAGAGATGGGAACTTAGAGATTCGCCAAACCGTGGGTGAGAAAATGCCGTTTATATGAAAAAAGAATAAAATTATTGAAATTTGTAAGGTAAGTTGCATGTGAGGAAAGGTTAGTCCACGTTTTTCATTTTTGTTCTTTATGCTTTTAATGAAAAAGCTGGCATTTGGTGGGCTGCAGCTCGTGATTTATACAAAGTAATATATTACATGTAGCTCATTCTTTTGTCTTTACAGCATCCATTATTTAAACAAAAATACAACATGAGAACATGGGTTTTGTAAAACTACTCTTGTAATTAAACTTGTTATGATAAATTAGTTGTTATAAATCAATTTAAATCACTTACCCACCCACTTTCATATTTAAACTAGTGCCAGCAGCCAACAAAACCCATCTTCCCTTCACTATATACATATATAACACCAAGTTAATCAGATGGGATTACGACGTATTCCAATTACAGAGCCGATTGGGTTGTGGATCCATTAATATAAACAGTTATAACAAAGTTTTTATTTGATGCTTTATCCACTTATCACAAAGTATCTCAACAAACAAGCAAGTATGATTTGATTTCGTATCATATTTTGATTCTTATTTAATTATAGTATCACACTCTTTCAATACCTTGTTCCTTAATTATGTGCTGGCCCAAGTAATTCTTTATATGATAATTTCATCTTCAATAATATTTTGATTGCAATTAGGTTATACAAACAGATAAAAATTACACAAAATTTATATAAAATGATTGTTTTTTGTTTTCTACCTATTTGTATGACTCAATTGTAAGTATAGCATTATTCTTTCATCATAGCAATATATATATATGTAAAAAACAATCAAAATATGTCTAATCTTTTTTCTATTGAACATGTTCTTGAAAACCTTATAATCTATCCAATACTAATCTTTCGGAATCCTAAAGTTAATGATCGGATAATTCTTTAATGGTCACCTCTATTAATAACTAAAGAAAATCGAATTCAAGACCCTTAAGTAATACCCGTGGGGTAATTGCCAACAATTTCGCGGACTGTATTATCAGTAAGAGTAATACTAGCCTTACAAAGAGGCATACAAAGAAGCATACAATCCTTAAAAGAAGAGAAAAGAATAATACTACACATACATCATTTTCATACGATATTTCTCATACAACATTATGTGGCAAAATATGATTGGTTAATTTAAAGTTAAAATTAAACTTTCAACCAATCACATCTTACAACATAATGTTATACGAGAAATATTGTATGAAAATGATGTATGTGTAGTATTACTCAAGAGAAAAAGAGAGAGAAAGAAAGACAATCATGGGTGCGTTTGGCTCCCTATTTTTATCCATATTCCCAATCCTATTCTCCAAATAATGTTTGGCACACTATTCTAGAAATATTACCCTATTTTTTTAATTACTTTTAGACCCCATAAGGTTATTAATTTCACTAAATGCCCCCTGATTTTTTTTTAAAAAAATTAACAAAAACCCCCCCATTAACCCAACTTGTCAGATTCCGGCAACCATCGCCGGTGATAGCCGGAATCTGTACAACGGCCTAAATTCCGACCATAAATGGCTGGAATTACATCGATCTGGCCGGAAAAGGCCAGATCGATGTAATTCCGGCCATTTATGGTAAAGGCCAGATCTGGCCGTCAGCGACGGCCAAAGAAATGGCTGTCGTTGACCGAAAACGACAGCCACATCTTTGGCCGTCACTGACGGCCAAAGATGGCCGTCGTTTTGGCCTTTTCGGCTGTCGATGGCCATAACGGGCCGTAGATCTGGCCTTTTTCGGCCAGATCCGTGGTGGATCTGGCCGGAAAAGGCCATAATGATGCGTTACGGCACAGATCCGATCGGTCTGTGCCGTAACGAAATTTTTCGACCAGATTCCGACGGTGGCGGCCGGAATCTGACACTGCAGGTGGTGGGGGTGTTTTTATCATTTTATATAGTAGGGTCTTTAATTAAATTAGTAAACCTAAAGGCTTTTTCATAAATTTTTTAAATTTACCTCGTAATACTTTCCTATCCAACAATCCAATACTATCCTCAAAATTCTATCTAAAATACTATACCAAACATATCCCATAAATTTTAAGAGTTAGATTTGTATCTTTATATGCTTCTTTTTATACCTTTTTTAAGGCCAGTATTACTATATCAATAATGATCCATATCTATCAACAGCGGCTGGTCAACACCATTCAGAACCTGTTGACAGTGTGGAAAACATCTTAGACCTATGGGTGCTGTGTCTATTTTCTGTCTATTGGTGCAGAGTTGTGCAACAATCGCCCAACCAAATGACAAGAGAAATTTAATGCGCTCCCGCTTCCTCATTTAGTGCGAACAACAATGCCGCAAAACAAAAGATTTATGAAGTACATAACATAACTTTAAACCTTGGACGGACCGAATACAAAAAACTCTGTCAAAGGCCCAAAACTTTTTTGACCGCAAACAGTCAGCCTGGGCTAAGCCTGAAAGTGGTGATACACTGATATTGAAGTCCCACTTAATCTCTATTTAAGTTTTAGTAATAGTTTTTTTTTTTTCTTCTTAAATTAAATATTCTTTAAAGATAATATATGTGATTTAAAATGATTGTATGATGCTAAATTAAAAATAAATTAAATAATTAAAGAAAATTACATTTCAAACATGCAAGATTGCCACATCAATCTGTAACTTTGTATAAATAGTTTGTTGGAAAGATCATTATTTTTAAAACCCTAAACCCTTTTATATGTTTGAGATTGTGTTTTGAAGATAAAAAGTATTCCAAAGTGATGGAAGATAATTTCAATCAATGAAAACAACAATCATGAAGAATTAAGTTTTGATTTTATTTTTTTCTTTAAGAGAAATCATTAAATAGCTTGACACCAAACAAGGTTTTGAAAAGGGAATATGCCGTTGAGTGAATGCATTTAGATTTAAATTGGAATTAAAATGGTGGCTGAAATTTAATTCAAAAGAAAAGAAAAATTAGATGGTAAGGTTAACAAAGAGTTTTAAGAAGAAAATATTAGAAAGGGGTGATCTTAGAATAAAAAAATAATATCTTTGTAAATTATATTGGGGCTTAGAAAGAGATTGAGTGAGAAACACTTTTATTATTTGTTAATTTTTTGATGAATTTAGAAATAATATATTTAAGGGGTTTGTTAAAAATAATATATTTAAGGGGTTTGTTAAAAATAATATATTTAAGGGGTTTGTTAAAGATATTAATCATTAATTAGATACGATGATATGAAGTTTAGTTGGTGGAAATAATTTGGTTTGAGAAATTAAAAAAAAATGGTGCACCATTATTATTAAATGTTAGCTAACTTCTCTCATAAGGACTTGGTTTTGTGGTAGCTTTTAAGATTCAATAATTTCACTAAGTTATTTCTCATTTCATTCATGCTTATTAGGACAGAAAATAATTTCTCTTTGTTTAACCTTATACATATAAACTCATAAATTTACGTAAAAAAAAGAAAGGAAGAAAGAAAAAAATATTGTCTTTCTATTTTTCCTTTGACTCATACAACATTAGCAGAGACCATTTTTTTTTTTTTTTAATCACCGGGGTGTCTAGGTCAGCTTGCGTTTACTTCAATTAATCTATCGGGATTCTGAAACTACCGGTGGATAAGAGTCCTAGTAATCATCTCTGTTAGTGTCTGAGAGATTCGAAGTAAAAAACTTATGAATCTCTTTTTACTTTTTATTATCAAACCATCCCGTAGTTTGTTAAGAGACCATTTTCGGTGTTGATCAATTCTATAAGGTGAAATAGAAGAGATAGGCGTGCCTTTATATTAGTGAAAAACTTTATACAATGCTTACAATAAATTTCTCATCATTTTGAATAATATTTTTTCATTTTTACAAGGGGTTTTAGCCTTTAAGAAAAAAATGTCATTGGAAATTTACAATTAAGATAAATATTTTATAACGGCTTCTGACAACTAGTTTGTCATCGAAAATAACATTTTCGATGAGTTTTAACCCTTGGAAATAGGCACCTATTGGAGGGTGGTTTGAAAAAAATTGGGTAAAAAGCTCGGGGAAAAATGGGTATGGACCGTTGGAACGATCTAGAAGATGCGATGGGTAAATTCTCTGAAATTAAACCAAGGTAAGTGACAGCGTGGATATTGCCACATGGCAGAGTAGCTGTTTCCTGT